TATTCTAATTTAATATACTCCTTCAATCTCTCCTGGCCTGATAATCTGTGTTAAGAAATCTGCAGTTATTCTTAGAGGTTTATCTTTAGAAGTTATTTCATATTTCTCTCTAATGGATTTTAGTGTTTTTTCTTTGTTGTGATTTCTTGGATTTTTCCACAATGCAGTGTGGACAGTTTCTTTTCTGGTTGTAGCTACTTGGAGTTTTAAATGCCTCATTATCTGGACATCCATTTCAGTGCCTAGACTTGAAAGTTTTGTGCAGTAATTTGAGGGAATAAGAATTTTAGACCTTACTGTGTTTCTCCAGCCTTTCATTGACCTCTGTGATGCTTAGGTTATATATTTAGAACCATTTGTGTTGGGCAGGGTTGGAGCTCTAATTTTTCCCTTATCAAAGTTGATTAGACTATTTAGAGTCTTTTTATTTTTACAGAAATGTCAGAATCAAAATTTTAATCTATGTGAAAAATGATGTTGACAGTGTGACATGGCATTGTGTTTTATGATCATTTTATTTTCCTCTATTCATTTTTGGTTTCATTCTGAATTTTATTTTTATTAACTGCCAGATAGCTATTGGGGAGGTGTAAAATTTTGAGGCATCTTATTGGCTGGTGTTTCTTTGTTCCTGTGTTTTTCTGCTGAATGTTGTAGGTCAGTTGGGCTAGAAACTTCTGCTAATAGAGATAACGAACATTGAACTGTAAAGAAAGGACAGTTTATGGTAATATCTACCCACAAAGAACATTATAGCATTTAAGACATACTGGCACTGAAACTGGTTTATTTAGAATATGTGTGTTCTCTTGATCCTGCTATGGTAATTCTTATGTATCAAAAAATCTTTCTATTTCTACTCCATTTGTCTCTTACTAGCTGCCAATTGTTGAGGCAGGAACAGAGAACTTTTAGGATTTCTGTGAGATCTGTTGTCATTTCACCATTTTGATTCCCAACTTCATGGATTTGAGTCTTTTCCTTCCTCTTTTTGATAAGGAGTTTTTTTCCATCCTATTTAATCTTTCATAGAAGCAACTATTGCATTCATGGATTTTTGCTTTGATTTCTTAGTTTCCATTTCTTTAATTTCTGTTATGATTTATAATTTCCTCCTTCATATGATCTTCAGCGTTAACATGCTCTTCTCTATCTATAAGCTTGAGGTTCAACAGTAAGTTAATTATTTGAGCTTGTTCTGTTTTCCTGATAAGTATATTCAATGCTAAATATTTCCCTTTTAGGACTACTTTCAGCGTGTCCTGTAATTTCAAGTATGGTTGTACTACTGTTATCTTTTAAGTGTATAAATTGTCCAATTTCTTTGTTAATTTCATCTGTGACACATTGGTTTTTTAGGATGGTGTTATTTAATTTCCATTTGTTTATGGAGCACTTGTGGTTTATCCCTTTTCTCTCAGTCTCTCTCTGTCTCTCTGTCTCTCTGTCTCTGTCTCTGTCTCTCTCTCTCTCTCTCTCTCTCTTTCTCTCATCCCTTCCTTTCTTTTTATGTATCTGGAATTGCACTCCATACTTTGCACTTGCCAGGCAGGCACTTATGTCTCTGAGCTATATCTGTGTACTAGTTCTTTGGTTTCCTTTGCCATTGATTTCCAATCTCATTGTTATGTGATCTGATAATATGCATGGGATAGTTTCAGTTGAGTTACATATACTTTAGTTTGTTCTATGAGAATATTTTCTATTTAAGAGTATGTCCCAGAAAAAGTGTCAGTGGAGCCCTGTTGTATTTAAGGAACTCATTAGTATTTGTAAAACTATTTCATTTTCTGATAGAGATTTTTTTTATTACTTGGTGTGGTCACCGAGTCAGTTGAGAAGAGAATAATAAGCTCCTGATGTCAGGTACAAGAGAGGAGAGTTGCTGCAAGGTACAGAAAGGCTTGTGTGCTGTAATTGCCTGAGGATGGGGTTAGGCAAGAGGATGGGAAGAACTGGGAATCAAGCTTGATGAACTAAGAAAATGACCTTGAACATCATATTCTGAGGAAATAATGCTACATGTGAGGCATCATATTCTTCACAGCTTCAGTGGTCTGAGGTATTGCAAAGAGATCTACACTTGTTAAACCACATCGCAGAGTGACAGAAACATCCCCACACTCCCACAGCCAGTGTACTTGAGTTTCTGTTAGTTGCCCAGATATCAGTTCCTGCTACTTCTGTTTCTTAGAAACAGCTGGTCACTGTGATGCACAGCTGGTCTTATCAAACATATTACAAAAACCAATCAAAGACAGCCACGGACTCTACCTCTCTACTTCCCGTTTGAAACCCCATAAAAACCTCTCTGCCTGAGTCACAGTGGTAGCTCAGTTCACAAATGCTTTTGATTGTCAATAATTTGGTTTCCAAACAGAAGCATTTGGCAAAATTCTGTTTGTTTACAAACTCTTCATCTGGTGACCAACATGACTGCGGCCATCTATTTTAGACAGATGCAACTGTGGCCATTTTTCCCAGAATCAGGGAACAGATTAAATTTGTCAACTGACGTACCACTGTAGTTAGCCCAAAATATGTCACTAAAAGTGACCATTTAAAAAGATTTCTACACTAGCAACAAAGTCTTTACACTAAAACCATCCATAAATTTAACACAAAATAAAACAAAAAGCCCAAGAGAAACGGGGGACTAAAAGGCAACAGAATGCCTCCAGAATCTCTTAGCTCCATGAAGCCAATCCAGGGGATAGAGAACAGGATAAGCCACACATGAGAATTACTTCAAAGGAGGTTGGAAAACAGATCAGAGAGGTACACAGAGGGACCACAGAAGACATAACGAAGCAGATAATGGAAGTAATAACCAAAGTGATCCAGACGCTTCCAGAAGACACAAATAACAAACTAGCTGAGCTAAACAAAACTATACAAACCATAATGACAAGTTTAGAAAAAAAATTGGAGTCCATAAGAAGGTTAAAATCAGAAATCCAGGTGATTAAAAATTATATTGAAAGTTTGGGCTGCAGAAATGACCAGTGTGAGAACAGAATTTCAGAACTCGAAGGCAGTGGTGCTTTCAGAGACCAACTACACAAACCAACAAGACAACATGAAAAATGGACTCAACCACTGGATGACACAAAAAAGCCTATGAGTAATTGGAAAAAGCGATAAATCAGAAGATAACACTAACAGCATAAAAATATTCACTGAAATAATGGCAGAAAACTCCCCAAATACAGGAAAAGAAACAAGCACACCAATAAGTGGAGGCATGATCAAAAGAGAGCTTATTATACTTTTAGTACCAGAAACCTATCACAGGAGACAAACTCTTAAGTGCTATTACAGAAAAGCAACAAATTACATGGAAAGGTAAACGCATTAAAATTACACCAGACCTCTCAACACAAAACTTCAAGGCCAGGAGGACTGAAGTGTTTTGAGCTCTAAAAGATAACTTCCAAACCTGACTTATGCATCCTGCAAAACTCTCCTTCATAACTGATGCAGACATAAAGTATTTCCATTACAAGAAGACAAGATATTCATGGCCACCAAACCAGCATTACCAAAAAATTTCAACTGACTTGAAGATAACAATCTCTAATTATTGTGCTTTGAAATTTTGTTTGTTTTTCTTTTTTTTCTCTTTAAAGTAAAATAGATTTAAAAAGAAACAAAAATTTTAAGGGTATTTCTGGAAAACAACAATAAAGCCAACAATGTCAATAAATCAAAAAGAATGAATATACCCGGTGTGATGAGCAGTTAAGCAAAAGAAAAAAAAAAAAAAAGGAAAGGAATATCAACAAGAATAAGTCGATAGTTTTCAGTAAAAACTCTCAGTGTGAAATGGTTTCAATTCCCCACCAAAAGACACAGACTGGCAGAACTGATCCAGAAACAAAATCCTATGATACGCAGGAATCAAGAAACACATTTAATTCAAAAAGAAATTCACAGATTAAAGATCAAAAGATGGAAAATAATATTCCACGCAGGAAAAGAGAAAGAAGTAGTGATCCTAACTTTATTTTTTTTATTTAAAAGAAAAAAAAAAGAAAAAACAGTATAATGGTACAAGTAATACAGAATTGCAAAAAAAGGTAAGAAATTATAATAGATTACATATTGTCATCTTAGAAATGGTTGTTCAAGTTACAGTATTAAAGCATACAAAGTGGACATTCAAACAGTGAGACTGCAAACAGTTGTGTTCAGTGATCCAACAAAAATTTAGTAATATGTTCATTTATCTTAACACACCTAAACACACTTGCAGTTGTATCCTTTAGATCACTTTTTTTCTCTGTTTTACAACAAAACCCAAAATGTGTAAATTTTGTAGTGATATTAACTTTAGACAAAGTAGACTTCAAGCCAAAACTAGTCAGAAGAGACAAAGAAAGTCACTACACATAGGTGAAGTGAATAATTCCATAGGAAGGGATGACGATTATAAACACACTGAATAATAACATGCCCAACTTCATAAAACAAATACAGACAGGCAAAGTTAGATAAATATTAACAAATGGTAAAGGAGGATCTCGGTAATAACCCACTGTCAAAAACAGATCATTTGAGAACTGGGCTCCTAAATCAGGCAAGATGCAAGATTGCTCAAGGTGCAATTTATTGTCAGCTTACAAGACAAAAAGTCCTGTTTTTCCAGGATTTACTCAGTGGCACGTGTTTTTCTTTAAAACTGGAGACACAAGGGACACAGGAGAGGGGAGGTAAAAAGATTTAAGATGTCCTAGTACAGGTACCAACTCTCCATGATGAATTTAAGTACAACTAACTTACTAATAAAAATAAAAGTTAACAGAACAAAAATGACACACAGCCCTCTTTATGGTCAGCTAAAAACCAAAATCGCCTTGATGGGTACAGAGCTACTATTTCTGTCATTTTGAAGATCCCCATGTAAATTGGCATGGTCTAAACCCACACTGTTAGCCCTGTTACAGCTTCACCCTGCTGTACAGGGATGATCTCCAGGGATTACGCTGCTCTCTACTCACCAACAGGAGGCTTAACGGGAGGAAGTCCTGACTGTCGCAGAATCCAACTTCTGTGTTTCTGATACACTGCCTGTTCCAACAACCATGAGAGGAAGTGTGCAAAAACAAAGTGCTGTTAGTTTTAACACTTCACACGGGGCACAGGTAAGACACACATCTCCACACCTACAATGGTGTCTACTGAGGAATCCTAAGACTGCCTGGGAGAGTGAGGCAAGAGCATCAGAGGGCTGCCCAGAGTGGTTCTGTCACCACCCAAGGGGACACTGGCACCTAAAATAGCAATAGGGCCCCTTGGAAGTGCAAACCACCTCAGTGTGCACATACAGAGAGGACAACCACCTAACATAGCTACTCTGCAGCTCCTTAAGCCACACTTTGATATAGCAACTGGACTTTTCCTTGTGCCCTACAGCTAGACCTCCAGGAATGAATGGGGTGAATCAGCAGCACGAAGGGGAGGAGGGAACCCCAGCTGCTCTGCAGGCACTGCTCTCAGGGTGGGTTGCAGGCAAAGAGGCACAGCCCAGAGGCCATGGCCAGTGCTTCTCAGAAGACTAAAGCTTGTCTCAGTTTCTACAAAAAAGGATGGAGAACACGGAGGCAGGGGTCCTTGTTTGACAAACACTGGGTGGCTAAACAGGCAGTACAGCCCTGTCACAAACTGGGTAAAGAGCTTGCAACATCTTCTGCAGATATTTACACTCCCAGTTGTACAGTGTTTTGTTTTCCTGCAAGTATACCAGGAATACTTCTTAGCAACATCTTGCCATAGCTCTAGAAAAGACAGATAGCTGGCCGTGTTGGTAAGACTGGGCAGTCATTGTAAACCTTCATTCTAAAGTCTAGGAGACATGCTGTAATTTATCTTATACTCTCCACCTTGCAAGTCATTTGTAACAGTCCACCTTCTTACCAATGTGGCATAGACATCTTCTATGTAATTTACCCTGACAACTTTTTCTATTCAATCCATTTAAATTTAGTGTTACACAGTTTGCCTGCACATGCCTGTAATCCTAGCACTCTGGGAGGTTGAGGCAGGAAAACTCCAAGTTCAAACCAGGCCTGGACAATTTAACAAGACCCTTTCTGGATAATAAAAGAAGGGGTGATGTGTAGTACAGGTAGAAGGCTCCCTCCCCAGTACCACCCCAAACCCCAAAACAACAACCACAACCACAAAAATGCCTCCAAAAAAACAAATCAACAACAAACAGACTCATTAATACTACCCTTTATTTTTGTTTTGTTTTGTTGAAACAAGGTCTCCCTGTGTAGTTCACACTGGCCCTACAATCCCTGTGAATTCGAGGCTGGTACTGAGCTCTCAGCAACCTTCCTGCCTTAGCTTCCCCAGTGCCGGGATTACAGGTGATCTCCACACCCAGCTATGTTAATATTGCTTGCAATGTTCAGAGAGAAAATGTGATTCTTATAGTGAAACAGAAATTGAAGGTACAGGGAAAACAACAGAGTACTCATTTAGACTATTTAGTAAGCCAATGGAAATTAAGCTCAAGGCCCGTCACAGCTTACTTACTTATCTATTTTATTTATGATACAAGGTCTTCCTATGAAGCTCAGTATAGCCTTAACCTGGATTTATGATTCACATACATCTCAGATTCATGATTTTCCTGCCTGAGCCTCCCAAGTACTGGAATTACAGGCATGCACTTCCATGCCTTGCCAACATTTGTAAGACACCTTGAGGGAGAAAGTGTTAATTCTTAAGAACTTACTAGTTAAAAGACACACTGGAAAGTGTTCAGCTTTAAAAAGTTTATATAAATGTATTTTTCTCTGATTTTCATACAGGCAAGAAAGAGAAAAAAGGAAAACTACCTACACAGGGGGCTAACAACAGGAAACTTGTAACAACCCCACTGGTACAGTTTATACAGCACAACCATGTACATCAGGAATGAGAAGGAATGAAGTCTCCACCTAACACTGAGATTGTCAGCAATGCACGAGGCTCAGGACTCCATCAGCTTCACCCACATGACACATTGAAGCATCAAAATCACATTACTATGATGCCCAAGTTACAGATATGGAAACTGAGGCACAGCACAGCTGCATGACTTGCTCAAGGTCATGTCCCTGCTACCACAAGAGCTGGATGTGGATGTGGGCTCTCTCAGGACCCTATCAGTGCCTTTTACTAGGTGGGCAGGACTGTCAGGGACTCAAGGTCTCCTCTCAGCCAACTGCACTCTTCAGTCAGCAGTTACATAAGGGCCATCCCGACTGCACTGGAAAGGTCAATGCCTTGCCATCTCTCACTGAGAAGGCAGCAGGGCTGCCCTAGCGGTCTCCACAAGGCTTCTGCCTTCTTCCCTGTCCCTCTTCAGGTGGCACAAGGTAAGTATATGGAAAGATAACACTGGAGGGAAGGGAAAAGGAAAGACAGAGTTGGCAGAAGCTGGAAGTTGTGAGCTAAAGTTTACTCTGCCATTTCTTCTAGTGTGGAGAGAAGTCCCAAGTGTCACACTGCAATTTTCCTGGCAAGCCAGTGCTGCCTGCCACACACTGCACCCCACAGGTGCATCAGCCTCAGCCCTGAGAGCACAGATGGGTGCTCCACTTTATTAGTTGGGCAAGGATGCTAAGGTTCAACCAGACAGATTTTTTAAAAATTCTATTATTGTTGTTAACCATTTTCCAACAAATGTTAGGGCTAATCCTGAACCATTGACACCTGGGCATGCAACCAAACTCAGATGCTTTGTAACACATACAATGGCCACTCTAGGTAATTATTAGCGCGCACATGCTCCCAGCCAGTGTTGCATTACATGGCCCACCACATACCATCCATCTGGATCTCATTGGGCTGCACAGAGTGGGAAGACTTGGAAGAAGAGACTCGGAAGTTTGCAGGGAGTGTCTCTGATGACCCAGTTGCCACGCCATGAATGGCCTTTTCTCTAACCTTCTCTCTCCATGAAGGTGCTCTCCTAAAGTGTTTGTCATGCTCCTGGCAAATGAAAACACAGAACAGGCACACTCTAATAAAGATAACTGTCCTTCAGAAGGACTCCTAAGCCCCTGACTGTTTTGCTTTACTTAGCCTTTCCTGGTGACCTTCCAATGTGCTGCACACACTGGAACTTCAGTGTGAGAGGAAACATGATTACATTCCTGCTGGGCCCCAACTGGAGAAACGAGGGCAGTCCTGGGCACCAGGGATGTGATTTTCTCACCCATCAGAATATTTTATTTCTTACTGTGGACAAGCTCTTGCCTGCTATATAATGTACTTTTATTTATTTTCAAAATATTCTGGCTACAAATAATCCAACAAATGCTTTGCTTCCAGATTCAGCTTCCATCTTCTTTGTGAAAATCAAGTACTCTTGGAGCTCACTGAAGACAATCGTAATGTATGGCAACAGGTTAGTTATGATTTAGCATGAGGGGAAATTTAATATACTTTTGAAAGAAACCTTCCAAACAGAAGAACTGGGGCAGGACAGTCAGCTGTCACCAAAACACAACTTAAGACTTTGATCGCAGGCTGCAATCTGTTTGACAATATAGAAATAATTTTTGAAGGTTGCCAAAAATTAAGTAGTGGACCAAGAGCAAGGATCAGTAGTAGAGCACTCAACTGGCATATGTGAAGCCCTGAGGTTGATTCCTAGCAGTGAGAGGAGAAAAAAGCTGAAAACTTACAACATCAAAACGTCTGACAGTCCCAAGGACCAAAAGGTCGGCAAATTCTTTGTCCAAGACATTTCGAGCCTGAAGTAACAAAACAACAACTAAATATATCTGAAGGATGTTACACATTACAATTTTTTAAAACAAAGACTTCAAAGACTCACATGCTTGCAACACAAACTGGAAAGAAAAGATAGTGAAAAATCAAGCATTTGCTTATTTTGAACTACCATATTATAGATTAGTTATGGAAAGTGATTACTAGTTGTCTAGAGTTAAATTTTCTCTCCATTCAAATGAAAAATAAGTATTCTAGAACCACAGAAAAACCGAACACTGTGGCTAAGCAGACAGAGGCACAGACTCCGTTGTCACCTTTCTGTTCTCTGTCGGGATCTGTAATAACAGGGCCAATGTGTTGTAATCGAAGGCTTCATCTAAGGCCAGCTGTGCGCCATGAACCCCACTCTCTATGAGGTTGTTTGCATATTCTTTAAGGCCAATGGATATGACCCAGCGAATCACTCGATCATTGCTCCAAACAAGCACATCTGTGAAAGAACAAAACAACTGTAAATGTGGCTTCAGAAAACCTCTTCATCATACATGTCCTGCAATGCAGGGGAAAGATTCCTAGCATGGATCTTGATCCCTCAGCTCCTGAAAATGGACTCCACACTCACAAATACTGACAGACACACACCTAGACACAGCTGTTTTGGTTCTGCCTCATTCTAATAAAAACTTTCCCTTTAGAAGCCTCCCCTAGTGCACTCAGGTGTCACAGTAAGATTGTGGATAGGATATATTCAGGGAACAATACAGCATGATTGGCTGAGGATGTAGCTTGGTGGCAGATCACTTGCCTAGTATGTACAAGGCCTGGGGTTCAATCCTAAGACTGCAAAAACATCAGGCTGAGGGTCAGAGTCAGACCTAGCACGTATAAGCATGTTTCCTACACAGACCCCAGAGTCTCCTGAAATGCTTCTCCATCATGAAAGGGGCAGATACCATGACAGTTCAGATACCTTGCTGAGTTCAACACAAACTCTTTGCTTCTGACCTTCTGACCTTCGTTTTCTTTTACTTTTTCTTGTTGTTGTACTGGGAATCAAACTCAGAGCCTTGTGCTTACCAGGTAGGTGCTAAGCCACTGAGCCATACCCCAGCCCCTGTGCTTCTGAAGCTTTGGTCATATCAACATCTTAATATATTACAAAGAAAGAATTTTAAAGACATTCCAGCATATTAGATTTTGGCAATCGTATATCATACAAAGATAATTATTAAATGTATTCTATTACAGACCAAAAAATTGCCACTCTGTAAAAATATATCTGACCACCAATCTTTTCAAAGACTGCTTTTGCCAACTGACAAAATATGGAGAGGGGATATAGAAAACAAATTAAATGGATTAATACATTTCATGTCTGATTTTTTTTCTCAACTTTGTTTTGGTACCAGGGATCAAACTCATGACCTTGCACTTGCCAGGCAGCCGCTCTGTTGTTGAGCTATATCCCCGGCCATGACTTTCTTTTCTAAATAGACCTCAACGTATTCTTTGTTTTAAAAGAATTAAAACCCAGGCCTTGCACAGACTAGGCAAGTGTCCTACCACAGGGCTACATCCCTGGCCAATAGATAATCCTTTATTTTATTTAGAAAAAGACATCAGAATGAGGATGAAAATAACAGAACCACGATGCAGCCTGAATGAATCAACTATGGAAGACTTGACACAGTGCTTGATCATTATTCAGTAAGTCTCATTTCTTCTCATCACTGCAGTGCTATTAGTAACTACCGAGAATTCTGAGAGACTCTCGTGAGCATGACATTCAGTGTTGTCTTCAGAGAAAATGCCTGTCCCTGTCATACTGAGGGGGCTGCCATGCCCTCTCCTACCTCCTGGCCTGTTTCTGACATGTCTTTCCTTTGCCCACAGGACACTCTGTGGTTTCTGTAAGGACTGCAATCCCAGTTAGTATGGGTGCTGTGGCAGGAGGGTCACAGGTGTAATCCCAGACCAGGGTACTTAGTGAAATTCTGTCTCAAAATAAATAAATAAATTACAAAATTATGGGTGCTAGGCTATTGGTTGCCTTGACCTCTCCCTCCCTCTGGGAGCAGAACTGTGTGCCCTGCATGCTGCCACAGGCCTTAGAAAAAGCTCCCAAAGCTGTAGTTTTAACCTCTAATCCGGCATAATGTACTTGCCTTTAACTACATGCTGACTTTCTTCTCTTCTTCTTTCCAGTTCTTTACGATCATAATTTAACCTTTTCAGGCACATAAGTCCACACTGGAAGCTGTTCCTATTTACAAAATAAGGGGTTATTTTACGGTGGCAATGTGAAGTCTCTTGATCCGTTAGGAAGAACCACTTGCACTGCCTCACCTGTGAAAACTGTCAACCATTTTCAGCCGCCCCCGCAGGTCTTTCCTGGTCAGGTGGTCCAGCATCCGAGCATCCACAAGGCACTCCATGAAATAGCTTCGGTACTGAGGTAGGCCCAGGCTGGGCAGCCACTCATTGCCAATCCACTCGTGGTCCATGTCCCCATATGCAAGTGTCTGATTTCAACAAATGAGTGACATCAGTTCAGATTTTTAATCTAGACACCATTCTTAAAGGCTAAATGAATGACAACATTGCTTTTCATAATTTCTAAATATTTGATCTCCCATTCCTACCTTTTCAAATTCCTAAAGTTTTATCCAACAGAAATCATATTGGCAAAATTTTATGACTCATTTAGGACAATTTACCAAGCTATAGAAAAATCATACCTGTCTATAAATTCCTTTTCTGAATTAGTTTTCAATATAATAATATAGGAATAAAGAATGATCATGACTCATGAACAAGTTTGAAGAATCAATTCAAATCATCTCAAATGAGCTCTAGCTGGTTTTGATTTTATTTTTAATACTTTGTCTTCCTAAATGACAAGTGTATTTGAAAATCAGGAAAAGTAAATTTAAAATGATAAATGAACAACTAATGAGACTAAGAACAAAAACAGAAAAATACAATTAAATTTAGAAGACTTCAACACTCCTCTCTTAACAACTGGTTCAATGTGCCAATCAAAAAACCAAAAAGGACTAAGAAAAGGAAAACAATCAGGAAGGCTACGGACAAAAACAATACTGTCAATCAATCTGACCCAGATATAACTTACACTTTTTCCTTTCTTTTTTTTTGGGGGGGGGGGGTTACTGGGAATTGAACTCAGGACCTCATGCTTGCAAGGCAGGTGCTGCACCACTGAGCTAAATCCCCAGCCCCTCCCCACAACCTTTAAAGACAGAGATTCCCATTATATTACCAGGATTGAGTGCAGTGGCTATGCACAAGCACTCCCTATGCAAAGAGATATTGATGCCACTCTAATGTCCATCTTAGTTTAATGCCCAATTGTCATAGGACATTATAACAGCCAACTTCTGGGCTCAGTCTCTTGAGTTTTGGCAACTACAGGGGTGCATCATCACATCTGGCTTCAGGACGTACTTTTTTGTGGTGTGGTATGGTGGTGCATGCCTGTAAACCCAGCACTCAGGAGGCTGAGACAAAAGTATTTCGAGTTTGGGACTAGTCTGCACTACACCAAAAATAAGGAATCATGGTAAGTAGGTTTACTGACTCAGGAATAGGTTGGTTCACCAACTGAGGAGGAAAAAAAAAATCAATGAAATTTGCCCAATTACGAGATCAGCAAAGAAAGCCATGTCTCATAATACCTTATGTGGCACAAGATCCATCATTCAGTTATGAAACTCAGCATTCTAGGACGAAAGACCCACCGCCTCAATCTATTAAGGGTCATCTACCAAAAGCCTGCAGCTAAAAACCTCACAATGAGGGACCAAATGTCTCCCTGAACGGAAAGAAGCACAAGGGGTGTCCACTGTCACCGTTTATGTTTGCCTGTGCTGGAGACCTGGCCACTGTAATGGCAGGAAAAACATAAAAATGGCATGAGTTGAGAAAGACATAAACCTCTCTTTATTAGTAAATGACACAATTATCATTGTTGAAAAAGTCTATGAAATAGCTATTAGGGTTTATACATGAATTTAGCAAAGCTGCTGAATATACAATGAATACACAAAAATTAACATTTCTAAATATACAAAATGAACTGGAAATTGAGATTTTAGAAGTATCTTATATAATGGCACTAAACTGCATAAAATCCTTAGCAACCAATTCAACAGAATATGTCCAAGGTCTGTACAATGAAAAATAGACATGATATACAACCACTTCACAGAGAATGGTTCGTTATGCTCTCCAGCTAAGGAAGATTAAATTACATTCACAGGAATCCTAAGGTACATTGAGGAATCCTTTAAAATAAAAACTATCCATTCCCATCCATCCTCTCCTGGCTTGAACTCAGGGTTTCATACCTGCTAGGCAAGCACTCTAACCTGAGCTACATCCCCAACCCCTTACAACAGGGTCTCACTAGGCCCAGGCTGGTCTCTAAGTTGATATCTTCCAGCCTCAGCCTCCTGAGTTCTGGGATTACAGTCATAAACCACCATGCATGGCCTCCATGTTTGGTTTAGAACAATGGATTCCACTCTAGTATTTTATTTGTTCCAGTCAAGATACAAGGGATGGCTCAGCTAAGAGGAATGTTCCAATTCTAACAGAAAAGATTTCATAACTTTCTTTAAATGATGAGTGACAAATATACCACTATGGTAACCATTAAGATACCTAACAATGTTACCATGATGCAGTCCTTTGAGTCATACTTTCATGGGCCTGGGATTCACAGCCTGAATATTTGATGTTTTCTGGCCTGCTGACTATGCTCTCTTCTAATGAGTAGAAGAAATCTTCCAAATAAAAAGCTGTGCGGAAGCAAACCCTCCATATCTCTGTTTACTACTTTTGCAGTTGCTGATAATGCAGATTCTGACAGCTCAGACTCAGTTTGAGGGAGAGCCTCCTCCTCTCCCTGGCTGCCACCACAGCCTTCTGAAGAAGTGTGCAAAGGGACCTCATGCTCCAAGCATGGACAAGTCACGCTCAGTCTCAAGGTCAGTAAAATGCGAGCTCCATGAGAGTGGGACTGCAGCTGTCCTGCTCATTAATGGCTCCTGGCAGCTGGCACAGCCTTCTTACACAGCCAGTCATATCTTACATCTGATATGCGAACAGTTCTGACCACACTTGAGTGTTCCTTCCAAAGCTCAGTCAGGAGTGAGGCCACCCAGTGCCAGCACGGGCAAAGCACAATGCTTTGTGCTAGCATAGCTCTGTCCTAGCAGCTCTGTCTGGGAAAGGATGGTGGCAAAGTGCACCAAGCTTCTGCAGAACATTGCATGTGGGGTAAATCTGGAATCTTCTGCATGGGCCCCTTTTATATGGTCACTGCAAAAAGCAAATGTTAAGCTTGTTCAACTACACTTTATGTCTCTGATGCTATTTCATATTGAAGTGGTGACCATATTCTACTTTGTCTTTTGGAATATATTGAAACTTACGTAATTATGAAATGCACTGCTTAATTCACTGATGGTCATTGTTGGTCCTGTAGAGAGACCTCTAACTAGGTGAATTTAAGTGATTCTAGAGGCAGGGAGTATCTAAACCCAGGGAGGGAAACCCAGTTAGTAGCTATTCTCTTTCTTCTTAGTTTTTGTTTCTAAACTTTTTGTAATTTTGAGACAGGATTTTACTATGTAGTTTAGGCTGACCTTGAACTCACTATGTAGCCTATGCTGGTCTCAAATTTGCAACAAACATGCTTGATCAACCTCCCAAGTCCTGGGATGACCCATATGTGTCACCAAGTTCCACCTCTCTTTTTTTCAAATGAACAAACAAAACAAACAACCAAGTGCTATAACTGAACAACCTTTAGAAATGCAAACAGAAGCAACTGTTTCAAGCATCATCTTGGAATCAGCAAATTCTAATCTTAACTCATTTATACTTGCTTTCAGACATATGCTAACTCTTCTGAGCCCCCGAATACCGTGCCCCTGGGAAAAGCTGAAGAACTACAAGTCCCCTGGTACTGCACTGTGCCCACCAAAGACCCAAGAGGGCAGAGGGATGCTGGGAATTTAACCAAGTCATCTGACTCAGACACTGTAAAACATGGGGCAGAGCTTTCTGTGTAGTGAAGAGTTAGGCAGCTGAAATTCAATCTCTGTGAAGTGATAAGCCTTAATTTCTGAGAACTCCATTACTAAGATCTTTAACTCAACACAGTAGGGCAGTACTTAGTCAAATAACAATATAAAGACATAGAGGGAAAGGCCCCGTGCCAACTTTCAGGTTTAGAAGTGTATTTCATGATTTTTTTCAGCAGTACATTTTAGAACAAAACTAACCCAGCAACGAACTACATGTACATAAACTCAGGAGTTGCCTAAACCAGGGGACTTTGTATAAAAGATTCTATTCATAAATAAAACAACCTTCGTTCAAAGTAATTTCCATGATCCCATATGGGAAATGTTCAAAATTATCCATGAGATGTAATCTTTAATCCTGTGATTTATTTGATTACATTCTTCAAGTCATTAATGATACTATGAATAAATTAAGGTGTGAAAAACACCTACTAAAGCAGGTCACACAAGTTTACATCCTCAATTGCTTTTTGTTGCTACAGAGTGAAGAAATATTATAGAAAGACTCCAACCTTATCCAGCTTCCCTCCTCATCTTCCTGATGTTAGGTTGTTAGGAATGTAAAAGAACATAACTATTAGTATTAGTGAACTTTAGTAGTGTAAGCAAATTAATTCTGCAGGGAACATGCACCTTGACTGAGTGAAAAACATTCAAAATATCAATGCCTCATGCAAAAACTCATGAAAATCCAAGAATTTCAATTTTCCATGCAAGGAGCAGACTTTTTCCATGCCAACTAACCTCATACAGTAGACTGTTGGTGTTAGACAACCACAACGCAGTGCTCAATGGAGGTCTCTCCAAAAGGAGAAGCAAATTACATCTTCTCTAAATGGGGCAAATCTATAAACTAAATTCTTGTAAAAATCTAAAAAATGCAAATATGACTATACGCTATGAGCTAATAACCTAAAAAGAACACATTATATTTGAAACAAATGCAAATTAACTTTTGTTTTCAACAAAAGACAAAGGGCCCTTTGGTCTGGAGTAGGAAACCCACTTTGGAACATGAGCTGCAGGGCTGACTGACCATCTGAGATGTGGCTGCGAGTGTTTCCATCTCTTCATGTGTTAACCAGACATTTCCTGTGGTCTAAGGTGACCCCAGTGCACCAGCCACATCCAGGGCAAGGGAAGCATGACAGAAAGGAGAAGGACGCACATATGAGCCACAGGCACAGTAAGGAGCCACGAGGCAAAGGTCACTCTTTGCACATTTTCATTTCAGGCACCCACAGAGAAAGCCAGAGATCATTAACACAGGCTCATCCTCTTTTAAACAATAACAGTGTGGTCGGAATATAAGGAGAACAGCACACAATTTCCAGATCACATGCTTAAAAGTATGGATGAGAACATACTTTATATTTCTGAAAAGTTACTTTTCCCAGTAACTGATGATTCAATAGACAGTATTTTCAATAGTCTCACCATGTTGGAGGTATAGCTCATGATAGGGTTTTTGCCTGGCTCTCCCAAAGCACTAGGTTTAAGCCTCAGTACAGCAAAACAAAAGAATAAAACAAAACACACAGAAAGCAGTCTCACCCCAACACAGGCTAACAACAGGATGCTCTGGCCTTGGCTTCCTGTGGCTGCTTTCAGCAGATGATCCAAAGCCAGAGGAAGCCCAGGAGGCCAGGGCACAAGATAGTGAGCACAGGAGAGCCAAACAATGCAAACACCAAAAACAAAGCACTTGTCACCATCTGAGTCAAACCTGAGACTGATGGCCACTCTGCTAGCCCACTGTAAGCTCCCCAAGAACAGCAATTTCTGTGTTTGTAACTGGTGATATGGAGAGTCTTTCTGATGTGAGGTCTAGTCCTTGCCAATAGTTCAACTGAATCACAGAAGCTCCCTTTTGAAAGAGGGTTCTTAAAAGCTTTGAAAAAGCCATGCAGCATCTTCATTTCTACAAAGCCCACATTAATGTGGAAATAGCTGCAGAACAGACTGATACTGGTTACAAAACATTCCACCAAGGGAAAGTGTTCTTTGGCCATACGTTAAAAAAAAAAAAAAAAAAGGCTTATTGTTCATTTTCATAATTCTCTAACAACAAAATCTTCACACTTTTTTGTGTATAAAGTTACTGTAGGCAGACCTTGCTCTGCTGCTCAGAAGGATGTCTACACAGCTCTAAGAGTTTGTTGAACATCTAAATGAAAAACCCCTGAACTTTGCAACTTAAGAGCTGGCCTGCTCTTCCCTTCTAATAACCACCAATGTTTCATCAGAAGAGTCACCAGGAAGCTCTTTGAGGGCTCTTCACTACTCCCCAAGTGGACAGCATCTTTGTGAGCACAGGCATGGTTGGACAGACACATGCAGCTCCCAAGACCCAGAGCACCTGCTGGTGCCGTGACACACAACCACAGTGCATCTAGGAAACTCGGCATTTTTCCTCCTTTAGTTCTTGTAGGGAAAAAAAGACATCCACAAAGAAGAGAAGCTTAGAACTGTCCAGGAACCAGTGGATTTCTGGGAGGTGACCACCCCTTGTTAGCATGTCAACTGTATGTCAGTGGCACCTCTGGACTGCCACAAATTACAGTTACTCTGTAAGTCCCGCCTATATGTGCAGTGATGCAGATGCACTCACACGCACAAGACTGAAGGAAAGAAGCCACACACAACAAAGTAAAGGCAGCCCAACCTAGTTTATAGCCAAGGGGCCATAGCCAGGTGCTTATTTATGCCCGGGGATTGTATGCAAGGGTTTATACATTCCTGGGCTTATCTGTATATTTTGCTACCTGTATACTTGAAGAAAAACAATATTTTCCGCATATAATTTGCTTAGCAAGTACCTTTATATACCGTACAAGTACTAATTATTGTTTGAACTATGAAATAGAAATCAAAGTTCAAGGATGAAATGCTACTTAAAATGTTAACTTTTCCTTCCTCAAGAGGTCCTTACACTTACTCAGTTTTGATAAATTCATACGTACATTTGTGACAATCAATTTTCTACCTTTCAAAAAGCCTTCTTTCTTAAAGAAGGCCTTTCTAACCAAGTTTTATTCATTTATTTAATTATTTATTTTTTGGTCTTTTCTGAAACGGGATCTCATTACTCAGTTCAAGCTGCTCACACTGTAACCCACTGGCCTAGAACTCACAGTGATCCTCCCACCTCAGCCTTCTGAGTGCTGGAACTACAGGCATGTGCCACCACGCCTGGCTTTAACCACACTTTTACAAAAGCAGTTCACACATTTTCTTTGGATCACTCAACCCCTCCAAGTTAGGGGTTGTACTATGCTTTCCTGAAATTTTAAGTTGAAACCACCCTGTATGATTAGGAAGCAGCACGGAAACATTAGCAGGCTACTGCTTTTGTGGGCTCTGCCTTCCTCCTCCACAGAGGGCACACAGAGCCTCTGTGAACATACCTTTTTCAATGTGGGTGGAGCCGAAGGGCTGGTGAGCCACAGGGTTTCCTGGATGGCCAGCCGCAGCTTCAGTCTGTGCAGAGGGTGGCTGATGCCAATCTCTTGCTGGATCTGTCTGTCTGACAGAGCTGACATGATGGCCCCACTTTTCACATTTGCTCTGCAGGCAGCCACATAGCAAGCAGGCATCCCAACCCAGAGCTAGAAAGAAGAATGAAAAGACCAGAACATCAGGTAGAGACAGGAGATGCATGACAAGCTTGTGTCATGTAGCATAGGTCTCTGTAGTAAAGGGATGTACCTCCAGCCATTCAACCACGGTTGGCCCGTCCCACTGTGAAAATGGTAAGCCTTGCCTCTGGGCTTCCTCCAGCAACTCAGGCCTGTGAAAAAGAAGACATTCAAATTAAAGAAGCACTGTTACACATCCAACAAGTTAATGGAACAGTCTCTGAGCATTTTCAAAAGTATAACACATATTCTCAGTTCCTTTTATCTTCTACAGTTTTAATGTTATTAACATCATCCTTGTAATGACAGTCACACACATACTATGGAGAACGCCTGAGTAAATAAAAAATGCTACAGAGTTCTCTTGATTCCCAGTCAAATCACCATTACTTCAGAGAATTGAAGAATTACTACCAACTTATAAAACTCAAGCAGAATTTTCATATCCAAGGTAGTAAGACAATTAGGGGAAAACATGAAACCCTACTTCAACAATGAAGAAACAGTATCTAGGAAGAGGAAACCACACCTCAGTTGAGACATCAGTGCCTAATTTTGTGAGAGACTTTAAAAAACAGTGTTTTTGGGGGGTGGTTGTGGTTTGGGGAATGTTGAGACAAAGTCTTGCTATGTATGTAGTCCAGGTTGGCCTCAAACTCTGTGTAACCAGTCTCCCCCAGTGCTTGGATTATAGATGTGTTTCATACTCCCAGCTGTAATGCAGACTTTTAACCACAAAAAGATTATCGTCTAATACAGCAAACAAGTAACAGAGGACAGTTTCTATTGTACACTGCTCTTTAAGTAAACGGGTACTTGATAAGTCACTGGGTCATTCTGTGGTTTTAACCCATTGATCTCTTCTTTAGCCAGCCATTCAACACCTCCTTCAATGCCGAATGTATCACCAGCACAGAAACTCATGCAATACCAAGGCAGTACTGCAGGGAAGTGGGTAGGTGAGTCTTGCATGCACTCCGTAATGTGATTTGAGGTTTCATATATGCTTTATTTCTAAAGACTCAAGTTACACTTTTACTATACTAACATCTCTAAAAGTGATTTGTGTAACACAGTTATGTGAAACAGTAACATTGTAAGCATGGTAAGTCTGACATTAGAACACAAAGGACAAGTATGTTTCAGATACACAAAAACCCTAGTCAGTCTCAGTCAATCAGTCTCTCTTCCCCTTTTCTTTCTTTTGGAAACTTATGTTCCTAAGTAAAATGTTTCATATACAATTTCAACTAAGAGTTCCTTAAGTTACCGCTAAGCTTACAGGAACAATCACCAGGGAGTAACTGTACCAGAGAAGGCAGCAAATGTGTTATCTCAGATGAAACAAGAAAAAAAAAAAAACAAAAAAAAGAAGAAGAACAACAACAACAACAACAATTTTCTAGTTGAAACAAGCAAAGCTATTCACAGAGAAACAGATCAGCAGAAGTGTGCTCCTAAGTACAAGAAGTAGTAGGCTACTGTCATGGTTTATGTCTGTGGCCCCCAGGCCTCATGCATTTTCATTGTGCATTTGTGATGGTTCATTGTCTAGTGCTTGGATTCATGGTGTCAGTGTTACACCCACATAAGAGTGGAGCCAGGATATGATGTAATGGTAGGAAGAAAGTGTATCTTGCTCTTTGCCTGTTCCTACTTGCTGTTTGCAGCCACCATGAACTGTGACCCAGCCATGCCCACCTGCCTTGGAGCCAACTGAGTGTGGACTGAAACCTCCAAAAACTGTAAGAAATAAACTTTTCCTTTCCAAACTTGGGCTTCAGGTATTTTGTCTCAGCAATGAGTAAAAAGTAACTAAGACAGAATTTGGTACCGAAGAATGGGGTTGTTTGCTGTGACTATACCTTACCATGTTTTTCAAGAAATGGCTTTGGAAATGGCTTGTGGGCAGAGTTTGGAAAGGTTTGGATGTGTTGCCTGGATGCATAGAGCTAGAGCAGCTTAGGCAGTTCTGTAGAGGAGATAGTGGTCACAGCTCAGGAGACCAGAAGGCTGATAGGAAGCCTGATGGTAAAGACCAGGCCTGGAAGATTTCTGCTGGGAAGAAGGACTGCAGTGGTTGTTGGACTCCCCATGATGTGAGTTATGGGTTGGCAGAAAGTTGTCTACATTTTGCTCATGTCCAGAGACTTTGCCTGAGACTGAAACAAAGGGCAATGGACTGATTAATCTTGAAAAAGAAATTAAAAAGCAATCAAATGTTGAGTCTGTGGCATGGCTACTGTAGAGGGCTTTTAGCCAGCTTTATGTTGCAAATCAAGAGGAAAGAGCCCAGCGGGATAATTTGCAATACTGTGAGTTTGGCCAGAAAGAATATTTCAGGAAGGCTGTGGATTGTAAAGACAGTGGAGATTCTGATGGCTGAGGGAAAACAGAGAAATAAGAAAGATGGGCCGGGGGCATCCCAGGAAGCAGGTCCCCACCCTGTGCAGCCTCACTGCAAAGGTAAAATAATTTTTTCAGAGGAGAAAGCTGCAGAGCACCAGGTTCCAGAATGGCGACAGAGACCACATGAGTTTCCAGAATGGTGACAGGCCACATGAGGTTCCAGAATGGTGGCAACATAGAGAAGCTTTTCCTCACAATCAGTTAAACAGAGCCCTGTGATCCAGGCAACTGACCCCTACAGCCAAGAGAGAGAAAAGCCTGAGTACTGCTCTAGCTAGCAGCAAACCTTGGCAACATCCACATGGTGCTGATCTTAGGTGCTAGGAAAATGCACAAATTCTGAGGGTAAGATGGCTTCTACCTCTATTGCAAAGGGCCTGGGAGGCCAAGCTGTGTGCCCCTGAGAGGGCAATTTGTGAAGACATAAAGGTGAAGCCAAAGGTGCAGTGGAGACCCCAAAAGTTTGGAAAAGCCAGAAACATGGACGATCCAAGGAAAGCTCCAAAAAGCAAGCAGAGAGGATTTAAGAGAAAAGCTGTAGGAGGTGAAATCCCTGGAAGTGCCTTGGGGGTGGAATCACACAAGCCTTTTGGAGCTTGTAACCATATTGCTTCAGATGCAGAGCAAGGAACTCTAGGACTTAATGTTCATCCTGCTGGATGTTGGATTTGCTTTGTTTCCAATGCTTTATATTCCCCTGTTTGTAACTTTTGGAATAGTAATGTTTATTTTGTGCCTTTGCATTTGAGAAATGTTTAAACTTGTTTCATTTGTACAGGGGTTACAGTTAAGAGTTTGCCATAGATCATGGAGGAGACATGGGACTTGGACTGTTCAGCAATGCTGAAACTTAAGACTTTGGAAACTCTTGGTGGTGGACTAAATGTCTTTTGTATAAAGGATGTACAAGAGTCCTGGGGGCCAGGGGAGGAATGTCATGGTTTATGTCTGTGGGCCCCCAGGCTTCATGTATTTGTATTGTGCATTTGTGATGGTTTATTGTTAGTGCTTGGATTGATGGTGTCAGTGCTATACCCACAGAGGGGTGGAGCCAGGATGTAATGTAATGGCAGGGAGAAGGTGTGTCTTGCTCTTTGCCTGTTCCTGCTTGCTGTTTGCAGCCACCATGAACTGTGGCCCAGCCATGCCCTGGAGCCAACTGAGTGTGTGAAACCTCCAAAAACTGTAAGAAATAAACCTTTCCTTTCCCAACTTGGCCTTTAGGTATTTTGTCTCAGCAATGAGTAAAAAGTAACTAAGACAGCTACCAAACCTGGCTACAGAGCTGCTATGACTCATTTAAGGAAACAAGAACACACACACACACACACACACACACACACACACACACACACACACAGAAAGAGAGAGTGTGTGACAAACATACAGAGAGACAGACAGACAGACAGACAGACAGACAGACAGACTGACTGACCCCAAGAAGCAGTGTAAATCCATTTCTGGGTAAAGATCTGAAATTCTGTAATATTAAGTGAGGGTCTGTCCTGGATGCTCTGGCCAGGCCAGGGAAGAGGAAGACTACTGCTGTAGGTCAGAAGCACTTCTAGATTATGTGCCTATTCAAATAGACTAAGTAAGAACTATGTCCTCAGTAGTCTAAAAATGATTTTGTTGGTGTTTTCATTATTTTTGATGGTACTGGGGATGGAACCAAGCACTCATTGAACTAAACCGCCAGCCATTTGTACTATACTTTTTATCTTGAGACAGTTTCTTAAGTTGCCTAGAACAATGGTATTGTCATCATAAATGACCCTCCTTCCTGGACCTCCCAGGTAGCTCGGATGATTAAAGGTACATACCACTGCACAGCTGTAATTTGTGAAAGTACATACCAGACATGTACTGCAAACAAGAACAAGGCCCACTACCTGAAGCTTGGTATAAACTGCTGCTGCCTTTACATCCTTCCTCCTCCTTACACCTGCATCCAGATGCAGCAGTGGGAGTGGTGTGAAGGTAGCAGAAGTAGGATGATACATTCAAAAGTCATGGGATGTTAGGAAATAACACAGAAGACCCTGGCTGGGGAGTTGGCCCAAGTTCCACCTACAGGTAGCTACACCTCCCCTACCAGGTAGTTTGTGGACTACGAGATTGGGCACCTAACCTTGGTTAACACGATAGGTGGGCACATTAGAGTCCAGTTTTCTTGAGAGTTGTTCCCAAAAGTGTACAGAAGGATCCTGTGTTAAGATGCAGAATCTGGAGCCTGCAGACACTTCTGCGCACCTCTACTCTGGCTCTTTGCAATGTTTGGTGATATGCACAACTACCTTCCTTTTACACTGGGTATTGAAACTGGATCTCTTTTGCTTGCTACTGCACATACTTAGTACAGACACCCATTTGTCCAAATCTGTGACCTCCAAGAACTAAATGGCTTCACAGTGTTTACTCACCTACCTGACTATCCACTTAGGTAAGGTTATCCGTCTACCCATATGATTAGTTTGGAATAGGAGAACCACCTATTTCCTCCCCCTCTACTAAAGCTGCAAACATTTAAGCTTTAGCAACATTCATTCTTTTCTTGCTCAACTTCCCAAATAATAACTCTTCCAGCTCTGAGCCCCAAAGCTTCAAGCAAGGTAATCAAGCTGGGTATGGTGGCATCATCTATAATCCAGCATGTGGGAGATGAAGGCAAGAGGATTACCATGAATTCAAGGCTAGTCTGGACTACATAAGGAGCCCCCAGGGGAAAAAAAGGAAAAATTTAAAAAGAGCAAATAAAAACATAGTAACCAGTGGGGGGGGGCATACTCTGCAGAATGTCCATCATCTGTCCACACTGAATAGCCACCAAGGGTATCTGAATAATATGTCAGTAATCCTAGATGTTGATGTGTCATATCCATCAACTCCAGAAGAAAACCCCTTTGGTTTCTTCTGATATTTGCTTGCTCCTGGGCTGTGAGATATCATATCCCAATAGATGTGACAGGCAGGCCAAGCTGGGGCCCTTTGCAGAAGGTGGCTGGGCACTAGATTGCTCTGTTCCTGACATTGTCAGAGCTTCTTTTCTTCAGCTTATAGCTTCTCCCATAGAACCAAACACTAGACACCAGGGTTGATTTTTATAATATCTGCTCTAATGCCAGGATGATGGTACACACCTGTAATCCCAGTACTTTGGAAGCTGAGGCAGGAGAATTGCTATGAGCTGAAAGTCAGCCTGGGTTACATAATGATTTCAAGTCCAACCTGAACAACACAGTGAGACCCTTTTTTAAAAAAAGAAAAGGAGGCCAGGAATTTAGCTCAGCAGCATAGCACCTGCCTGGCAAGTGCAAGGGCATGAGTTTGATCCCCAGTACCAAAAAAGGAAAAGAAACGAAACACACACACACACACACACACACACACACACACAAACACAGAGTATCTGCTCTAATGCAAACTGATATGGGAACCTTCCTGCCTTTAAATTAGAGACTGGGGGCTGAGTGTAGCTCATTAGTAAAGCACTTGCCCAGCCTTCACAAGGTGCTATGTTTGATCTGCAGCACCAACATGTATATACATGCATACATACATACATACATACATACATACATACTGTTGGAGGAGGCAGCTATTTTAGATTCTGTCATACTAATGATGGAGCTCAGGGCTTTAGCATACTAGGAAAGTGTTCTACAGCTATGCTGTATTCTCTTGGACCAAAATACACTAAATTCTCTGGGGAACAAATGCGTAAAATAAAAGTTACGTGAAGGCCAGGGATTTAGCTCAGCAGCTTAAGGGCCTGCCTGGCAAGTGTGAGGTTGTGAGTTTGATCCCTGGTACAAAAAATGTCATGTAATCTATGAATTATGATATATTTTATAATGTAGGCAAAAGCACAATGGTAAAGCTGCCCTTCATTTCAAGAAGCTTGTGCGAGTTTCTGCAGAATAAACATTATCTAAGTGACATATAGCAAGAACTTTAACTCTCCATAGTAAATACATGACTGTATTTCCAAGAGATGGGACACTTTTCAAATTCAGGGGTCTTGCACAAGGGCTAAGGAGACCCTTTCTCATGGCTGCAGCTCAGGCTCACATTTCACATGCTAGTCACACTGTGAGGAAGAGTACTGGGGACCAGTGTGTTGTTTTGACAAGTGAGGAATGGAAGCAACTTTTCTCACCAAACAGAAATATACTCTTGGGAAGTTTAGCAGAGAACCCAAAGCTGGTAACACCAGCACTCCACACTATATGATTCAGAGTACCACTGAGTATGGCTCCATGTGTAACCAACTTCCCACAGCAAATGCACCACAATGCCACACAACCGGAAGGAGAGCACTACAAAGACAAAGGTGAGTTGGAGATCCATGTTTTGAAACTTCACACAGCATTCTATGAGCTGATGAACGGACTCCAGTCTGAGTCATGCTGATAGTTGCATTGACTACTGAGCACCTCAAGTGTCAGCAGAGCATCAAATTCTTCCAGTAATTCTCAGAGAGCATGAGTTCAGCTGGTCAACATGTGCACTGAGTCCTGGGAACCCTCCTTCAGTCAATGTGATAGGCTAGTGGTTCAGCGGCAAGGAGCATGGCCTACAGCCAAGTTAGGGCTCATCACAAGAAGTACTGTATTTCTGAGAAAGTACCAAAGTGTTGAACTGTACTCTGTATTCACAGAACAGTTTTTTATTACATCAAGAATGCTCAAAGTAGCTGGATGTGGTTGTGCATGCCTGTAATTCCAGCACTTGAGAGGCTGAGGCAGGAGGATCATTGTGAGTTTGAGGTCAGCCTGAGCTACAAAGTGAGCTCAAAGCCAGCCTGAACTGCATAGTGAGACCTGTCTCAGAAAAACAAAAACAAAAAAAAACAAAACAAAAAAACAAAACAAAACAAAACAATAATGCTCAAAGTATTAAACTGTACCCTGTATTCACAAAATACTTTTTTTCTTCAAATCAATTACAATTCAGGTTATCTGACAGATATCACAAAACTGCCCACCATAGTCAGATGACTACTTTAGAATTTTCCCTATGAACTTTCTACTATGGTTGAGAAATCACATATGCATCCCACATAGAACTATAAAGTACAGAGCAAAGACCCATTCTTAGACACCTTGAAACAGCCACAACAGATGTTTGGAGTAAGCAGCATAAACTTGAATCTCCTTGCTACCGAGAAATCTCCCTCCCTACCACCACACACACACACACACACACACACACACACACACACACACACACACAAACCTGTAAACATGCATGCCTGGTGTGCAATTTAATCATGTGTTTGGGCAAATAATTCAAAGCCTGTCCTGAGGGTGCACACACACTTCTTGAGAGTTAGAAAGTCAATTTTTACAACAGGGAAACATTTTGGTTTTCTGTTTTTTGCTTTTATTGTGGTACTGGGGATTGAACCTAAGGCCTTAATGCATGCTAAGAGTACTACACTACCGAGCCACATCCCCAGCAAAATAGCCAAACATATTAGGAAAATTATTTCTTCTCTTCCATGAAACATAAACTTCAGAAGGCAATGGGGTGAATGATCAAGCTGTGCTGCTGTTGTTTTTATTACATTGAAATGAGCACGTGAAATAAAAGACACTGGCAAAATCTAGGCAACACTATTTCTTTAGCATGGTTTCGAGAGGGAAAATGACTAGCTTTAATATTAAGCTCCACAAAGCCAACTGCTCATTGCTTAAATTATTATAAAAGACTTTTACACAGTTCAGATTTTGTGGTTAAATGGTACTATAAAATTCTATTTACAGAGCACCAAAGATTGAGTATTTGTATAGAATGTTTCCATAACAGAATTTCACCTGCAATGGCATGTCATCACTGTTGAGCTGCTTAAAACAGTTACTATGGCCAAGTGCGGTAGCACATGCCTGTAATCCCACCACTTGGGCAACTAAATCAGGAGGACTGCTGTGAGTTCAGTCCAGCCTGAATTACAAAGTATGATTCTTGTCTCAAAAAATAAATGAATAAAATAAAAAACAAAAGACTCATTATAATATGAAAAACTTCATATATAAGTTAGCTATGAAATAAAAGACAGACAATAGAAGAAAAAAGTTATTGTAACTCAGCATGGAAAATATATCTAAAGGAATACTTCGACTTAGTACAATTGTGTTCCATCTTTTATATGTGTTTTGGCTTATAGTCTGGTATGTTTGATATATATATATATATAATATATATTGATATTGATATATATATCTTATATATATATATATATTTCTTTTTAATAGTCTTATTTTTAATCTGTATACATGACAAGGGTTTATAAGAGAAATGCATGAATGGGATTCTGGCAAAATACAAGGATGGTGGAAAATAAAGAATAGAAATGTGTCATGGACATGTATCAACTCCCAAGAACCAACATGATTATTATGTACTGCAAACACATACCAATAGAAGTTTAAAAAAAAAAAGGCAGTCATGAATTCAGAGAAGACAACTAAAATGAGTGAGATTAAATAACTTTCCAGCAGAAAGGGTTCCTAGGGATTCGAGTGCAACGCTAGTGTCAGGGCCTTTGCACTCTGAGTTCCACACAGTACTGGCTTCACTGAGAAGTGGACACCTGATGTTTCCCATATACAAATTTATCCAAGAACCCACCAACTTTCACCTTTTCTCAAGACCAGTGTGCCCATCTTACCTTAGGCTTTCAAACTTTCCCTACTGTCAAGTTCAAATTGTACCTCTTAGACATTACATACTGTCTGATTTTGTTGCAGAAAGCTTTTTGATTGATATTTTATTAATCATCTCACTAGGAAAATGTCTCAACCTATCTAGTTCACTTATAACTCTAGTTTTGGGTGTGATCAGCTTACACAACCAATCCTACATCAGAGAAGTGTACATACTTCCCTGATATGTTGGTGCCTGTGCTCCCCTATGCAAAATCATTCGGAACAGTATATATTATTTTCAGAATCTATCTTTATGTGGGCCTAGGGATGGTATGTCAAGCCAGTACGCTCTCACTTATACTCCACTCCTCAGCCCCTTAAGATTTAGTAGAGGATTATAGTTCAATAATACACTGTAAAGTAGAGATCCAATCTCAGATAAAATGTAAAATTATATCACGGTAAATGCTTCTGGAGGACCACTTGTGTAAACAATAGAAGTCACCACAGTGACCTTAATTATAGCTTATTTAGGACTTGTGTCCAAGTTTTAAACATATACATGCACATATATAATTCTATCAAACTGAGAAAAAGCCACACGATGCATGAACAACTGTAACAGTCATTTGACAGTTGAGAAAACTGAAGCCTAAGCTAAATAACTTTGTCAGACAGCTAACTAGAGAATTAACCAGGATTCAGCAGCCAAAGCTCAAAGGGCCAAGCCTAACTATTACCCATTCTATCATCTAGAGAGACAACTCTGCAAAGGAAGACTGAGAATACACATGTGAGTTCAGTCAAAGTTTCCAAATGTCCTCTGTTCTCCAGACATGATGGCTTAAAACAGGCTTTAGGTCAATGGAGGCAAACCTATGGCATGCATGTTGCAGCAAGCTCTTTGTACCACTGAAAGCTCTATCACTGCTTTAGGTTCATCTTTCAAAAGACAATGTATTTACAATAGCTAGAAATTACACTTAAAATCAGCTAAGAATGATGGTTAACTCAGAAAACTGTTTCATGAGATGGAGAAATAACAAAAAGCTTACTTTTTTTGAAGTTGATGATTTTTTTCATCCTTTCCTCCCAATTTGCTAAGTTGGAAGGCATCCTGAGATGAGTTTTCCGTTTCAGAAACAACAGCTACAAAAGAGAAGAAAAGCCCCCAAATTTAGAGTAAATTAACAGGGCAAAGTTTCATGTTTCACAAATAGGAAGAAGATTCTGCAGGTAGAGAGCTGAATCATTTCTGAAGTGTAAGCTTCCGAGCAAACACATATAAATGTTCAAGCGTATAAATTAGCATATAAGAGGGTTATTCATTCACGCCAAATGAATGTCCACTGCTCTGCTCTGGTTCACATGTGGGCAGACTGGGCTGTCTGGAGAATGCTCAGCCATGATTCCTTGTGGGCACTGGACACCTGTGGCAGGTACATAGGAAAAAGCTCACGCTCTCCCAATCCCAGCAGTTAGGACAGCTGCCTAAAACCGGCCCACCTTGTCTTGGTGATTCTTTGCCAGTTTGTCCAGGCAGACCCTTTTTCTTTTTGCCAAACAAACGACCAGTGGAGGACTTGATGCTCTTCTTCTTTGGGGCTTTGTGGAGCGCGTCCTGCCTGCTGTCACTGGTACTGGGATTGTTCACAGGACCTTCCTGGGAGCCTGTTGAGCTTCAAAGAAATAAAATGGATTTTTACCACCCTCTTCCCAGCTCCACAGTCCATTCACACGTACAAGAACAGTCTGCATTTTTAATATTCCTACCTTCAACTTCCTAAAAAACGTTTTGAGTCTCTTACACACAGTACAATATGCATTGTGATGCAGGGTCCCAGTAATGCTTCCACAGACCTGTGTCTGGAAAGCCAAGATTCTGATGTGCTCCCTGCTCAGAGCAGGCCTGTACTCTGGCCTGCCAAGGGAACACCCTCTGCAGGGGCCTTGCTCAGGCACTGAGGGATGCACTCAGTCAACAGGAAAGAAAACAAGGTTTCAGAAGCCTGACTGTAATTATAACTTATTTAGGAATTGTGTCCATGTTATAAAACATATACATGCACATATATAATTCTATTGAACTGAAAAACAGCCACATGATGTATGAACAACTGTAACTGCCATTTGACAGTTGAGAAAACTGAAGCACAGGATAAGTAACTTTGTCAGAGACACACAGCTAACTAGAGAATTAACCAGGATTCAGCGGCCAGAGCTCAAATGGCCAAGCCTAACTATTACCCATTCTATCATCCTGGGAGACAACTCTGAAAAGGTAGACTGAGAATACATGTGTGAATTCAGTCAAGATTTCCAAATGTCCTCTGTTCACCAGACATGATGGCTTAAAACAGGCTTTAGGTCAATGGAGGCAAACCTATGGTGTGCATGCTGCAGCAAGCTCTTTGTATCACTGGAAGCTCTATCACTGCTTTAGATTCATCTTTCAAAAGACAATGTACTTACATAGCTAGAAATTACACTTACAATCAGCTAAGAATGACTGTTAACTCAGAAAACTGTTTCATGAGATGGAGAAATAACAAAAAGCTTACTGTTTTTGAAGTTGACGATTTTTTTCATCCTTTCCTCCCAATTTGCTAAGTTGGAAGGCATCCTGAGATGAGTTTTCGGCTTCAGAAACAACAGCTACAAAAAAGAAGAAAATTCCCCAAAGTTAGAGTAAATTAACATGGCAAAGTTATATGTTTCACAAATAGGAAGAAGATTCTGCAGGTAGAGAGCTGAATAATTTCCGAAGGGTAAGCTTCCGAGCAAACACATATAAATGTTCAAGCGTATAAATTAGCATATAAGAGGGTTATTCATTCACGCCAAATGAATGTCCACTGCTCGGCTCTGGTTCACATGTGGGCAGACTGGGCTGTCTGGAGAATGCTCAGCCATGATTCCTTGTGGGCACTGGACACCTGTGGCAGGTACATAGGAAAAAGCGCATGCTCTCCCAATCCCAGCAGTTAGGACAGCTGCCTAAAACCGGCCCACCTTGTCTTGGTGATTCTTTGCCAGTTTGTCCAGGCGGACCCTTTTCCTTTTTGGCAAACAAACGACCAGTGGAGGACTTGATGCTCTTCTTCTTTAGAGCTTTGTGGAGTGGGTCCTCCCTGCTGTCACTGCTGCTGGGAACGCTCACAGGACCATCCTGGGAGCCTATTGAGCTTGAAGGAAAGAAAATGGACTTTTACCACCCTCTTCACAGCTCCACAGTCCATTCACATGTACAAGAAAGGTGTGCATTTTTAATATTCCTACCTTCAACTTCCTAAAGAATTTTTCAACTCTCTTACACACAATACAATATTCATTGTGATTCAGGGTCCCAGTAATGCTTCCACAGACCAGTGTCTGGAAAGCCAAGATTCTGATGTGCTCCCTGCTCAGAGCAGGCCTGTACTCTAGCCTGCCTGGTTTGGACACATAAGGGAACACCCTCTGCAGGGGCCTTGCTCAGGCACTGAGGGATGCACTCAGTCAACAGGAAAGAAAACAAGGTTTCAGAAGCCTGACTGTAATTATAACTTATTTAGGAATTGTGTCCATGTTATAAAACATATACATGCACATATATAATTCTATTGAACTGAAAAACAGCCACATGATGTATGAACAACTGTAACTGCCATTTGACAGTTGAGAAAACTGAAGCACAGGATAAGTAACTTTGTCAGAGACACACAGCTAACTAGAGAATTAACCAGGATTCAGCGGCCAGAGCTCAAATGTCTAAGCCTAACTCTTAACCACTCTGTCCACTAGGGAGACAACTCTGCAAAGGGAGACTGAGAATAAATGTGTGAGTTAAGTCAAAATTTCCAAATGTCCTTGGTTCTCCAGACATGATGGCTTAAAACAGCCTTTAGGTCAATGGAGGCAAACCTATGGCGTGCATGCTGCAGCAAGCTCTTTGTATCACTGAAAGCTCTATCACTGCTTTAGATTCATCTTTCAAAAGACAATGTATTTACATAGCTAGAAATTACACTTAAAATCAGCTAAGAATGACTGTTAACTCAGAAAACTGTTTCATGAGATGGAGAAATAACAAAAAGCTTACTGTTTTTGAAGTTGATGATTTTTTTCATCCTTTCCTCCCAGTTTGCTAAGTTGGAAGGCATCCTGAGATGAGTTTTCTGTTTCAGAAACAACAGCTACAAAAAAGAAGAAAAGCCCCCAAATTTAGAGTAAATTAACAGGGCAAAGTTATATGTTTCACAAATAGGAAGAAGATTCTGCAGGTAGAGAGCTGAATCATTTCTGAAGGGTAAGCTTCCGAGCAAACACATATAAATCTTCAAGAGTATAAATTAGCACATAAGAGGGTTATTCATTCAAGCCAAATGAATTTCCACTGCTCTGCTTTGTTTCACATGTGGGCAAACTGGGCTGTCAGAAGAACGCTCAGCCATGACTCCTCATGGGCACTGGACACCTGCAGCAGGCACATAGGAAAAATCTCAGGCTCTCCCAATCCCAGCAGTTAGGACAGCTGCCTAAAACCGGCCCACCTTGTCTTGGTGATTCTTTGCCAGTTTGTCCAGGCAGAACCTTGTTCTTTTTGCCAAACAAACGACCAGTGGAGGACTTGATGCTCTTCTTCTTTGGGGCTTTGTGGAGCGCGTCCTGCCTGCTGTCACTGGTACTGGGATTGTTCACAGGACCTTCCTGGGAGCCTGTTGAGCTTCAAAGAAATAAAATGGATTTTTACCACCCTCTTCCCAGCTCCACAGTCCATTCACACGTACAAGAACAGTCTGCATTTTTAATATTCCTACCTTCAACTTCCTAAAAAACGTTTCGAGTCTCTTACACACAGTACAATATGCATTGTGATGCAGGGTCCCAGTAATGCTTCCACAGACCTGTGTCTGGAAAGCCAAGATTCTGATGTGCTCCCTGCTCAGAGCAGGCCTGTACTCTAGCCTGCCTTGTTTGGACACATAAGGGAACACCCTCTGCAGGGGCCTTGCTCAGGCACTGAGGGATGCACTCAGTCAACAGGAAAGAAAACAAGGTTTCAGAAGCCTGACTGTAATTGTAACTTATTTAGGAATTGTGTCCATGTTATAAAACATATACATGCACATATATAATTCTATTGAACTGAAAAACAGCCACATGATGTATGAACAACTGTAACTGCCATTTGACAGTTGAGAAAACTGAAGCACAGGATAAGTAACTTTGTCAGAGACACACAGCTAACTAGAGAATTAACCAGGATTCAGCGGCCAGAGCTCAAATGGCCAAGCCTAACTATTACCCATTCTATTATCCTGGGAGAACACTCTGAAAAGGTAGACTGAGAATACATGTGTGAATTCAGTCAAGACTTCCAAATGTCCTCTGTTTTCCAGACATGATGGCTTAAAACAGGCTTTAGGTCAATGGAGGCAAACCTATGGCGTGCATGCTGCAGCAAGCTCTTTGTATCACTGAAAGCTCTATCACTGCTTTAGGTTCATCTTTCAAAAGACAATGTATTTACATAGCTAGAAATTACACTTAAAATCAGCTAAGAATGACTGTTAACTCAGAAAAATGTTTCATGAGATGGAGAAATAACAAAAAGCTTACTGTTTTTGAAGTTGACGATTTTTTTCATCCTTTCCTCCCAATTTGCTAAGTTGGAAGGCATCCTGAGATGAGTTTTCTGTTTCAGAAACAACAGCTACAAAAAAGAAGAAAATTCACCAAATTTAGAGTAAATTAACATGGCAAAGTTATATGTTTCACAAATAGGAAGAAGATTCTGCAGGTAGAGAGCTGAATCATTTCTGAAGTGTAAGCTTCTGAGCAAACACATATAAATGTTCAAGCATATAAATTAGCATATGAGAGGGTTATTCATTCAAGCCAAATGAATGTCCACTGCTCTGCTTTGTTTTACATGTGGGCAAACTGGGCTGTCAGAAGAACGCTCAGCCATGACTCCTCGTGGGCACTGGACACCTGCAGCAGGCACTTAGGAAAAATCTCAGGCTCTCCCAATCCCAGCAGTTAGGACAGCTGCCTAAAACCGGCCCACCTTGTCTTGGTGATTCTTTGCCAGTTTGTCCAGGCAGAACCTTGTTCTTTTTGCCAAACAAACGACCAGTGGAGGACTTGATGCTCTTCTTCTTTGGGGCTTTGTGGAGCGCGTCCTGCCTGCTGTCACTGGTACTGGGATTGTTCACAGGACCTTCCTGGGAGCCTGTTGAGCTTCAAAGAAATAAAATGGATTTTTACCACCCTCTTCCCAGCTCCACAGTCCATTCACACGTACAAGAACAGTCTGCATTTTTAATATTCCTACCTTCAACTTCCTAAAAAACGTTTCGAGTCTCTTACACACAGTACAATATGCATTGTGATGCAGGGTCCCAGTAATGCTTCCACAGACCTGTGTCTGGAAAGCCAAGATTCTGATGTGCTCCCTGCTCAGAGCAGGCCTGTACTCTAGCCTGCCTGGTTTGGACACATAAGGGAACATCCTCTGCAGGGGCCTTGCTCAGGCACTGAGGGATGCACTCAGTCAACAGGAAAGAAAACAAGGTCTCAGAAGCCTGACTGTAATTGTAACTTATTTAGGAATTGTGTCCATGTTATAAAATATATACATGCACATATATAATTCTATTGAACTGAAAAACAGCCACATGATGTATGAACAACTGTAACTGCCATTTGACAGTTGGGAAAACTGAAGCACAGGATAAGTAACTTTGTCAGAGACACACAGCTAACTAGAGAATTAACCAGGATTCAGCAGCCAGAGCTCAAATGGCCAAGCCTAACTATTACCCATTCTATTATCCTGGGAGAACACTCTGAAAAGGTAGACTGAGAATACATGTGTGAATTCAGTCAAGACTTCCAAATGTCCTCTGTTCTCCAGACATGATGGCTTAAAACAGGCTTTAGGTCAGTGGAGGCAAACCTATGGCGTGCATGCTGCAGCAAGCTCTTTGTATCACTGAAAGCTCTATCACTGCTTTAGGTTCATCTTTCAAAAGACAATGTATTTACATAGCTAGAAATTACACTTACAATCAGCTAAGAATGACTGTTAACTCAGAAAAATGTTTCATGAGATGGAGAAATAACAAAAAGCTTACTGTTTTTGAAGTTGATGATTTTTTTCATCCTTTCCTCCCAATTTGCTAAGTTGGAAGGCATCCTGAGATGAGTTTTCTGTTTCAGAAACAACAGCTACAAAAAAGAAGAAAATTCACCAAATTTAGAGTAAATTAACATGGCAAAGTTATATGTTTCACAAATAGGAAGAAGATTCAGCAGGTAGAGAGCTGAATCATTTCTGAAGTGTAAGCTTCTGAGCAAACACATATAAATGTTCAAGCGTATAAATTAGCATATAAGAGGGTTATTCATTCAAGCCAAATGAATGTCCACTGCTCTGCTTTGTTTCACATGTGGGCAAACTGGGCTGTCAGAAGAACGCTCAGCCATGACTCCTCGTGGGCACTGGACACCTGCAGCAGGCACATAGAAAAAATCTCAGGCTCTCCCAATTCCAGCAGTTAGGACAGCTGCCTAAAACCGGCCCACCTTGTCTTGGTGATTCTTTGCCAGTTTGTCCAGGCAGAACCTTTTTCTTTTTGCCAAACAAACGACCAGTGGAGGACTTGATGCTCTTCTTCTTTGGGGCTTTGTGGAGCGCGTCCTGCCTGCTGTCACTGGTACTGGGATTGTTCACAGGACCTTCCTGGGAGCCTGTTGAGCTTCAAAGAAATAAAATGGATTTTTACCACCCTCTTCCCAGCTCCACAGTCCAGTCACACGTACAAGAACAGTCTGCATTTTTAATATTCCTACCTTCAACTTCCTAAAAAACGTTTCGAGTCTCTTACACACAGTACAATATGCATTGTGATGCAGGGTCCCAGTAATGCTTCCACAGACCTGTGTCTGGAAAGCCAAGATTCTGATGTGCTCCCTGCTCAGAGCAGGCCTATACTCTAGCCTGCCTGGTTTGGACACATAAGGGAACACCCTCTGCAGGGGCCTTGCTCAGGCACTGAGGGATGCACTCGGTCAACAGGAAAGAAAACAAGGTCTCAGAAGCCTGACTGTAATTGTAACTTATTTAGGAATTGTGTCCATGTTATAAAACATATACATGCACATATATAATTCTATTGAACTGAAAAACAGCCACATGATGTATGAACAACTGTAACTGCCATTTGACAGTTGAGAAAACTGAAGCACAGGATAAGTAACTTTGTCAGAGACACACAGCTAACTAGAGAATTAACCAGGATTCAGCGGCCAGAGCTCAAATGGCCAAGCCTAACTATTACCCATTCTATCATCCTGGGAGACAACTCTGAAAAGGTAGACTGAGAATACATGTGTGAATTCAGTCAAGATTTCCAAATGTCCTCTGTTCACCAGACATGATGGCTTAAAACAGGCTTTAGGTCAATGGAGGCAAACCTATGGTGTGCATGCTGCAGCAAGCTCTTTGTATCACTGGAAGCTCTATCACTGCTTTAGATTCATCTTTCAAAAGACAATGTATTTACATAGCTAGAAATTACACTTAAAATCAGCTAAGAATGACTGTTAACTCAGAAAAATGTTTCATGAGATGGAGAAATAACAAAAAGCTTACTGTTTTTGAAGTTGATGATTTTTTTCATCCTTTCCTCCCAATTTGCTAAGTTGGAAGGCATCCTGAGATGAGTTTTCTGTTTCAGAAACAACAGCTACAAAAAAGAAGAAAATTCACCAAATTTAGAGTAAATTAACATGGCAAAGTTATATGTTTCACAAATAGGAAGAAGATTCTGCAGGTAGAGAGCTGAATCATTTCTGAAGTGTAAGCTTCCGAGCAAACACATATAAATGTTCAAGCGTATAAATTAGCATATAAGAGGGTTATTCATTCACGCCAAATGAATGTCCACTGCTCTGCTCTGGTTCACATGTGGGCAGACTGGGCTGTCTGGAGAATGCTCAGCCATGATTCCTCATGGGCACTGGACACCTGTGACAGCTACATAGGAAAAAGCTCATGCTCTCCCAATCCCAGCAGTTAGGACAGCTGCCTAAAACCGGCCCACCTTGTCTTGGTGATTCTTTGCCAGTTTGTCCAGGTGGACCCTTTTTCTTTTTGCCAAACAAACGACCAGTGGAGGACTTGATGCTCTTCTTCTTTGGGGCTTTGTGGAGCGCGTCCTGCCTGCTGTCACTGGTACTGGGATTGTTCACAGGACCTTCCTGGGAGCCTGTCGAGCTTCAAAGAAATAAAATGGATTTTTACCACCCTCTTCCCAGCTCCACAGTCCATTCACACGTACAAGAACAGTCTGCATTTTTAATATTCCTACCTTCAACTTCCTAAAAAACGTTTCGAGTCTCTTACACACAGTACAATATTCATTGTGATTCAGGGTCCCAGTAATGCTTCCACAGACCAGTGTCTGGAAAGCCAAGATTCTGATGTGCTCCCTGCTCAGAGCAGGCCTGTACTCTAGCCTGCCTGGTTTGGACACATAAGGGAACACCCTCTGCAGGGGCCTTGCTCAGCCAGTGAGGGTTCCACTCAGTCAACAGGAAAGAGAACAAGGTCTCAGAATCCTCACTGTAATTGTAACATATTTAGGACCTGTGTCCATGTTTTAAAACATATACATGCATATATATAATTCTATTGAACTGAAAAAAAACCACATGATGTATGAACAACTGTAACAGTCATTTGACAGTTGAGAAAACTGAAGCACAAGCTAAGTAACTTTGTCAGAGACACACAGCTAACTAGAGAATTAACCAGGATTCAGCGGCCAGAGCTCAAATGGCCAAGCCTAACTATTACCCATTCTATCATCCTGGGAGACAACTCTGAAAAGGTAGACTGAGAATACATGTGTGAGTTCAGTCAAAATTTCCAAATGTCCTCTGTTCTCCAGACACGATGGCTTAAAACAGGCTTTAGGTCAGTGGAGGCAAACCTATGGCGTGCATGCTGCAGCAAGCTCTTTGTATCACTGAAAGCTCTATCACTGCTTTAGGTTCATCTTTCAAAAGACAATGTATTTACATAGCTAGAAATTACACTTAAAATCAGCTAAGAATGACTGTTAACTCAGAAACCTGTTTCATGAGATGGAGAAATAACAAAAAGCTTACTTTTTTTGAAATTTTTGATTTTTTTCAGCCTTTCCTCCCAATTTGCTAAGTCGGAACGCATCCTGAGATGAGGTTTCTGTTTCAGAAAGAACAGCTATTAAAAAATCAGAAAAGCCCCCAAATTAACATGGCAAAATTATATGTTTCACAAATAGGTTGAAGGTTCTGCAGGTAGAGAGCTGAATAATTTCTGAAGGGTAAGCTTCCAAGCAAACACATACAAATGTTCAAGAGTGTAAAGTAGCACTTATGAGGGTTATTCATTCACGCCAAATGAATGTCCACTGCTCTGCTTTGGTTCACACATGGGCAGACTGAGAAAGCAGACTGGGCTTTTCTGGAGAACCCTCAGCCATGACTCCACGTGGGCACTGCGCACCTGCGGCAGGCACACAGGACAAAGTTCACGTTCTCCCATTCCCAGCAGTTAGGACAGCTGCCGAAACCCCACCCACCTTGTCCTGGTGATTCTTTGCCAGTTTGTCCAGGCCGACCCTTTTCCTTTTTGCCAAACAAATGACCAATGGAGGACTTGATGCCCTTCTTCTTTGGGGCTTTGTGGGGCGAGTCCTGCCTGCTGTCACTGCTACTGGGATTGCTCACAGGACCATCCTGGGCACTTTTTGATCTTGAAGGAAAGAAAATGGACTTTTACCACATGCCCTCTTTAGAACTCCACAGTCCACTCACATGTACCAAAACAGTCTGCATTTTTAATATTCCTACTTCAACTCCCTGAAGATCCTTTCCAGTCTCTTACCCACAGCACACTATGCATAGCAATGCAGGGTCCCAGTAATGCTTCCACAGACCTATGTCTGGAAAGCCAAGATTCTGATGTTGCTCCCTGCTCAGAGGAGGCCTGTACTCTAGCCTGCCTGGTTTGGACATCTAAGGGAACACCCTCTGCAGGGGCCTTGCTCAGCCAGTGAGGTTTACACTCAGCCCTCAGGAAAGAGAACAAGGTCTCAGAAGCCAGAACTGGAATTCCACCTTCCCTCTCAGCAGCTCCTGCAGGCTGGTTCCTTGGATCCTGCTCTCCTGCAAAGTGAGAGCTGTACTATCTCTCAGGACACTGTGGAGACCAATGTGCCTGCTTGATCATACTGCCTGGTATGGAACAAAAGCTTCTAAGAGGAAGTGTGGAAAACAACAGTCTATAAGTAACCAAGCCTTCATGGCCTCCTGATGGAACATGCTTCCTAAAGGGATAGGGACAATGTGGGACTCTCAAGAGCTTAGAAGACCCAGAGTGTGGGAGGGTACCTGAGAGGCACCGATTGTCCACAGAATAGCACGATCCAGAACCTGCCACATCCGTGTGGCAAATTCTTCACCAGGAATAGAAAGAAAGTTCTTAAAAGAAGTGAGTGTGTGGGATCTGAAGAAATGGAGCTTTTCTCTCAAGTGCTAATTTCAAATAATTCCTATTCTTTCTAAACTTTGCCCAAACAGATGGCCTTTTCCACTGGATGTCACTACAGCCGCAGAACAGGAGAACACATTCTAGGTCTAACGTTTAAATAATCACAACCAAATGAGCTTGCTGAGAATTCTTTAAAAACTTGGTTTTTCTCACAGGAAAAGATTAATAGATGTTCTTAAAAACTAAGACAAGCAGGTTTCTCAGGGGTCTGGTGGCCTACGAGACCTGCTCCTTACTTTTGCATGTCCCTGATGTCCTCGTGGCTGACTATTTGCAACGCCCCTGTGTGCAGCCTGTCTAGCTGAAGGGACTTCGGAGAGGAGAGAGGGGAAGTTCCACATTTTATCGTTGTCTTGTCATCTCGTTCTTCTTCTCTGCAAGCTAGCAACTGAGGAGTGAAAAAGCAACATCAGCTAACAGTACATTATAAGAAAACACATCACATAGGCTTTAAATAACATAAACTGACTCAAAACCTATTAGCTAAACTTTCTACCTGTCCTGAGAAGTCTCATTTTAATTGAATGCCAACCTGAAGGCCTGTTTGTCTGGGGGAAATGGACCACATAGCAGAGAGAGAGCAGGGCAGGTTGACCTATAGCCTTCCTTCATGGAAGCCCCGGGAAGCCCAGGGACAGCATCACCCCCCCTTCAAGATTCTGTTCTCCGTACAACCTCAGGTACCTCTGAGGATAGTTACTGAGGGACAGTGAAGTCCTAAACGAAGCCTGTTCACTGCACTTTATCACTTCAGGTTAACAAAGTTACTCTCATTACTGAAGAGCCTGTGACACATATCTTCAGTTACTGATGTCACTCAAAGGAACACTAGTGGGGGCCGAAGCCTCAGGGAAACTGTCAATACTTTTACCTCTAGCAAGAAACAAGACAAGGACAGCATGAGCGAAGACCCAAATATGCATGTGTGTGGCTTCTGTTTCTCACTGTGTGGACCAAATGTTATGAGCAGAAGCATTTGCATGCAGCCTAAAACCCTACTTCCATGTGGCTTCATAAAATAATCCTGGGTTTTGGGTTTGCATATTATCTTTTTTTGAAGTCCTGCAATGTCTCCAATGTTTTGCTTTTATTGGTTTTGTTCTTTAATGTTTTCAGTTTTATTATAACTGATGATATAGGCAATTCTTTTTAAGATAGCAAGAGGCATTATGGTACCCAATGATCATCACTTTGTCTTCCGTTTTTATATTATGTACTATATCCATTCTTTTGATTTGACTGACTCTGTTTTGTTATGTCACATTGGATTTTATTCTCTTCAAATAGAAAGTAATAAGAACTGTGGGAGTAATAAAACCCAAAATGTATAATTGTCATAGTAAAAAAGAGAGGAAAAGAAAGTGCTCTAAAGGATATAATTGCATGTATATTTAAGTGTATAAGATAGATAACCATATTGCTAAGTTTTTGTGGGATCATTGAACAGAATTGTTTGTAGTCTCACAGTTTGAATGTCTACTTTATATGCTTTAATTTTGTAATCTGAACAACCATTTCTAAGATGACAGTATGTAATCTATTAACTAGTGACTTCCTACTGTTTTTTTTTTTTGAAATTCTGTATCACTTGTATCCTTTTTCTGTTTTTTTTTTTTTTTCTTTTTCTCCTTAAATAAAAAAATAATAATAATCCTGGGTATATTATTAAAAGAGGGTCACGCAGACCCTGGGATTTCTTTTAGGGGATGGCCCATGAGTATGCCTATGTGTTGAAGAAGGCAGGACTGTGGAAATAGTGCATATGTGAACTCTTTCAGGGTCTGGTTAGGCCCTGTTTAGAAGGTTGTTATTTTCGGGTTTTGAAGCAGGACTAGATTTCATGAAACATTCATGGTGAACAACAAGTGGTGAATAGTTAATTTATTTATCTGTACAATGGTATAAAGGATACAGATTCCATTATAGTCCTGTAGCAGCTCACTGAAGACCACCTAGACTAGTGTGAGCTGAGAGCATTTAGGATATAATTTTTTTTTTGTCTTTTTCCTTTTTATTGGTGCTGGGGATCGAACTCACGACTGCCTGCTTACAAGGCAGGCGTTTATGCTGCTGAGCTAAACTTCCAGCCCGCTAGGATATAATCTTAACAGATAAACAGATAAATTCTGTATCTTTCTCTCTTTTTTTTGAGATAAGGTTTCATTATACAGTTCTGGCTGGCCATGAACTCACATGATAGCCCAGGCTGGCTTCAAACTCCAGCAGTCCTCCCTTATCAGCCTCCTGAGTGCTGGGATTACAGGCATATATCACTTTGTCTGGCTCTCATTTCTAATTGTAGTAACAAAACAAAAGACTGTCGGGGGCTGGGGTAACCAGAGCTCACTTACTTAGCTTGTTTGAGGCCCTGTGTTTAACCGCCAGCAATCTCATCTCTAAAAAAGTCCATCAAGCTTGAAATCAACAACATGAATCATAAAAGTTCAAAAAAACTTTTTGGGAGGGAAAAAGAAATCAAACTTAGGACATTGTTTGCCAGGCATCATTTAAATTTCACGTTAAAATAATCATTTGTTAAAATAGAAAAGAAAAAAGAAGAGGTAAGGCACTATACGTATGCTCCACCCACAAAAAGAGATTCTTGCACCAAGACTCCCCTACACTAGCCCCTGCTCTGCCCAGAGCCTTCCAGGCTCACTGAACCAGGTCTTCATTCTGCCTCTGTTCTCTTGTGGGAGGAAAGCACAAGGCTAGGGCCCACTGCCTTGTCTCAGACATGTCTACAAGTGCCAAGAAGTCACCTTAGTCTGCCCAGTAAAACTGAAATGAAGAAGTAACCATCCCATATCGCTCTTTGTCTGGCCCATATTTGCTGTCCTTAGACTCACTGCTAGGCTAATCTTCACAGCCAGCCCAGAGCAAGTCTTCTCAAAGTCACCAGGCTGCATGCTGAGGAGAGATGACTAGTGAACAAGAGGAGGCCACAGTGTCTGAGTCTAAGTCAACAGACTGCTTCCTTTGCTGAGAAATTCTTACTGCCAAAACCAAAATATCCAAACCACACTGAAGTCCACTGAACAGAGGTAAGCTCTGAGGCCGGCTGCTGGTGAAAGCGCGGCATCTCACTTTGGGCAGGCACAGATCAGGGCCATTCCAAGCAGCACTACTGTGTGGATCACTACCTCACTTACAAGAGAGCAAGCCATGGTTCCACTGGGCCAAGGAACAGCTCCCAGGCCAGGAACTAATCAGCAACAGAGTGAGGATCTGTACCCGTGTCCTTAGTAAATTTCCCTTCTGCTCAGCCACATAGAGAAGCTCACACACAGCTGCTGAGGACAATCACTACTTGGCACCTGCAGCAGCACTGCCCCACAAGTGTACCACCAGGAAGGCAGGAAGCATGAAGCGGGCATGGCACAGGGCCAGAGGCAGCAGGCATTAGGGGGAGCTTCTAGATGGACAGAAAGAAAACCCTACAATCCCCACTGCTCCCAGGGTACTGCTTTTACTTTCAAGTTTTACTCTGAGAGGGAGACTCCCAGCAGATCAGAGCATCTTGACAAATCTAGGCCCAAGGGAGAAATGGTCCTGGTTTTGAAATCAAAACACACTTAACTCCTACCTGCTCTGCACATCATGTGATCTAAATTTCAGTTTCCACATCTGTAATTGGGGGCAAGCACAGCAACTGGTTTCTCACAGGGATGTGTTTGTGGACTAAATATAGCAAAAAAATGCCCAAGCACTGAGTTTGGCACCTGGCAGAGAGCAGTGCTTACTAAGTTCTAGCCTTCCATATCAGAAAAAACTAGTTTTCCTCAATCTAAAGCCTATGGCTCTGCTTCAATCATTCCGTCCTTTCAAATCCTAAATTCTGTCTATTATACACATGCATGCAATGGTTAGAGGCAAAAGCACTGAGTGAAGCAAACACTGACATCTGTCCCCATGTTCCATGGATGGCTGATTGCCAAGAGAACAGTAACTTGTGATGTGGCAGGTCAGTTTAAACATTTCCAATGAAACATCACTTATTCATTGCAATATATTGACAACATTACACTTATTTGTGACATACTATACTCTTCCATGCATTAGGGAGATACAAAGCTATGCTCACTTACTGGAAAATTTACCTTTCTATGATGTTTCCTTAAGTTGCTAGGCTAACAAGACGCATGCAAAGAAATAGACACCAGATTTATGACACGATTTAAAGCTAAAAATTCAAGGATCTACTCAGGCAAATATATTACAATATGAAGGACAAGACAGAAATAAGAGAGACAGGATTTAGAGAAAATATAACTGGAAATCAAATAATCTTTTATCACAAATTTAAATCTAAGTTATCCAAGATTTACTAGAAAACACTATAAATTACTACTCAAAGAGCACATTCTATTTGAACACATGCGATTTAAAGCAAGACACTGTATAGAACAAAGGGCCCTGATAACCACCTACTCTCTAATATTCCCATGATGACAAGGATGTTACAGCAACATCTATTATAAAACTGAAGAGCCAGGCATGGTGGTGCAGACTTGTAATCCCCGCATTTGTGAAGCTAAGCCTGGAGAACTGCCAACCTGCACTACATGAGTTCAAAGCCAGCCTGAACTGCATGGTGTCATCCTGTCTCAGAAAAACACAAAAAACTGAACAAACTTATTTTTAGTTAATCATTTTTTGTGCAATGCAGTAAAATCTTCACCTAGAATATGATTTACAACTTCCTAAAATATATCATTTATCCCTCGTGCAGTGGCATACACATGAAATCACAGCACTCTGGTAGGCTGAGGCAGGAAGGCTGCCAAGTTTGAGCTCATCTTGGTGATTTAGCACGATCCTGTCTCACAATAAAAAATAATACTGAAAAAAAAAAAGGGTCATGTGTGTATCTCAGTGCACAGGCCTAGATTCCATCCGAGATACTGTGGAATACAAAGGAGTGGAATGGAATGGAAAAAAAAAAAGAAAGAAAGCTAGGCATCCTAAAATACGTAACAATAAAAGCTAGCACAGTACTAGATAGGAGGCATTTTAATTAAAAAGTAGTCCATTAAAGACTATAGCATATGCCCTATAAGTTGATGAGATTTAGAATTCTGATTATAATCAATAAAATCTGATTCGTATTGTCTGTATAAAGTTCCCATAAATTTTACACTCAGCAGTGGCCCCTCCCCTTGCTCCTGCAGTATGCAGGGTTGAATCCAGCTGGGCCACTCAACAAACTACACTGCCAGCCACGTTTATATTTTTATTTTGACATAGCACATTGCTAAACTTCTCATGCTGGCCTCAGACTTAAAATCCTCCTTCTTAGCTTCCCCAGTAGCTGGCATTACAGGCATGTGCCACTGCAGTGAGCCCAGATTATTTTTTAACCTAGGAAATACTTCACTCATGAATCATGCAGATCCTGTACAATCTAAGGAAAAACATTCAACCAATTATATCTTGCTTGTAACCACATTGACAAATTATATATTAAATATAATTGATCACTACTGAGCAAAATACATTTTTAATGACAAAAACCCCAAGCCCCACTAATCAGTCATAATCCAGCTCAGACTCACACGTGCTTGCCTGGTTAGCTGTGCAGAGCCATCACAGAATGGGGAGGGGCTGAGAGGGGAGCTTCATGGACAAACTACAAATTGATAGGGACCTGAGGCCTGGATTAGAATTGAATCTGGAGATGGTTAAAATAAAACAAACACAAGGGTGGCATAAGAAATCAAAACCAACAATGGAAGCACACAGACCGTCAGCCAGCATGCTGAATTAGAGAACCAGGAAGAAAGAGTTTTCCTCCATGGTTGTGTGTGGTACTGGGAATAGAAGGCAGGGGTACTCTAACACTGAGCTATGGTCCCATATTTTTTTCCTTTTAATTTCAAAACAAGGTCTTGCTAAATTGGGCAGCCTACCCTTGAACTTATGATTGTCTGCCTCAGTCTCCTGGGTAGCTAGAAAGATAGGGTTCACCCACTATGCTTGGGATACTCAGCTCTTTTTGAGTCAGTGTCTTCCTAAATTGCCCAGGCTGACCTTAAACTGGCAAACCTCCCACTTCAGTCCACAAGTAGCTGGGATTACAGATGTGTTGCTGCACTTCTTTTACAAATACTGGAAAGAAGGACACAACTGATAAATGAGATTGTCAAAAAGATGAAAATACAATGCCAGGCTTGGTGCCACATGTCTGTAATCCCAGCATGTGAGAGGCTGAGGCAGGAGAACTGCCATGAGTTCAAGGCCAGCTTGAATTACACCACAAGATCCTTTTTTCAAAAAACCAAACACTAATAAATAAAATAAGTTTGAAAAGAAGAAAAAGGGTCAGGGATATAGCTCCATGGCATAGCACTTGCCTGTCAAGCAGAACATCATGAGTTCAATTCATAGTACCAAAAGAAAAGAAAATGGTTTGGTGAGTGGTTTGGTGCTTGCCTAGTATGTGAAAAACCCTAGGTTCAAACCCAATATGTCCAAAAAAAAAAAAAAACAGGAAAAGAAAAGAAAAATATTGCTCAGTTAGTTAACAGTATAAATTATAAATACATCCAAATGTCACAAAACAGACTGCTGACACTGAACATTCCACTAAAATGACTTGCTTAATTTGATTATATTCTGGCTAAGAATGCCACTAAAAAGTAAAATGTATAGCAAGAGAAATAAAACCAAAGATACAAGTACAGGTGCAAAGTAGAATGTTGTAAATACAATTTCACATGAAATGAGATCTCATAGGCAAGATAAGCACAAAGCCTAAACTACCCAAAAACTATTCACACATTAGAGCTGATGTAACATCCAAAATTCAATACCATACCTCTGTGCCTGAGGAAAAATATGAAAAAATTAGAAGACACCTGATAATGCTCCCTTTGCCACAGTCCCAGAGAATACTCACATCTCTTTAGCGAACTCAAAGCACAACTAGTACTGAAAATCCTTGTTTAAGGAGTGCATGTACTTGAGAAGCTGAACATAAAGAAGAACACATGATGACAGCCAAGAAGCTGCAAAGATGAAGAATCCACATGAGGGTGGAGGACAAACTCCCATAAACTAAGTGGGAAAAGCTGGGCAAGTTCTCCTCTACCTTTTTAAAAGACCACAGAAAAGGAGAAATTTCTCAACCAGGGGGAGGCGGTATGTCACGATCTGACAGCAATACTGTGTTGTATTATTCATATTTATACTCATTCAACAGTGCAAATGCTGAAAATAACCGACCAAGGAAAGGACAAAAAAAAAAAAAAAAGGAATCATTATCCTTAACACTCCAAGCACTCAACATTATGACAACCCTGTAATTTTTATCACTTATTTCATGAACATCTCATTCCAATTTCTTGTTCATCTCTTCAGACTTGATGAGATCCTTTCTTGCTGTGTCAAGATTTTCTTGCAGCTCTGACACATGGCTGGAAAGTGCAGCCAGGAGCTCCTTCATCTGACTCTGCTCTTTTGAATGTTTGTGTATGACTTCTTGGAGCACAATTATTTTGGCAAGGTCTTCCTCATGGCTTAAGGAGCCAGCAGAAGATCTCTGATGGGTAAAATGGACACTCTTAAATAACCTTAGTGTACTACCAAATAAAATACTTTTGAACATAGGGACTATCAAAATGGATTTATGCCATCTGTTGGATGATAGGACTCTCAACAATCACTTTAGCTGGAAGCAGGCCATTCCAGCAACAGCATCCAAACAGCATCACACACGAACCACAAAATATAAGAAATCAGCAACAGAACAAAGAGAGATCTCAAGGACTTACCTTTCCATTAGTGCTTGGTGTTTCTTCTTGTTCATGGTCAAGCACTCCATCTCTTGGTGATTTTTTCTCATTATTCTGTTTTTTAAGAGTCATTAGCTACAATCGAAAACTGAGTATGAGACTACAATAACTTATGGAAGAGTAATGAGTAAAGACAGCAAAATTCCATTTGGAAAAACATAATTCTACAGTGCTGAACATAGTATAAAAAAGACAGTACATGCCAAAGCTGACCATCCATAGCAGAACCAGATTACTAGAAACAGAATGTACTGACTGCTTGACAACAAATTTAGAGATTCTTGCAATCTGAAATAAAAATCTAATCCAATAGTATTACAGGCTTCACACTGTTTTTTAAGAGATTAAAATAAAATAATTTTCCCTTTTCAGGGCTAGGATGATGTCCCACAATTACCTCCTTGTGCGTGGCGCCCAGTTCCTCTTCCAGCAAGCTGCACCTTTGCAGTGCTACACGTAATTGCTCTCGCACCTGAAAAGAGTTGAGTTTTTATATGCATACGCACACTTTCCATATAGTTATCCTGATATTGATGAAAGGCATATAATAAAGTACTTTCAATGTCTTTCATTGCTAGTACTGTCAAGAAAATGTCCTTGTTAATGGCTTTAAATATTAAGGCCGGGAAACTCTTGTTCCTAAATAAATGAACACTATCCAGTTCTTAATGGGCAGTCAATATTCAGAAATAATCAATTGAAGACTCACATTCCAGTTAGTGTTTGTTGATTATGCAGAACATTGCCTTTTAATACAGAAAGTCTGTTTACAAGAACTCAAAAACTTAGCAAACCTTAAAGGTAAACAAACACATGCAAAGTCTGCCATGAACCCAGCAAGTGTAAGAACCCAGAACCACTAGTGTAGCTCATGTACCTCTTTGTCCAGGGTCTTGTGGTGGTCAAATAAGAATGTCAGTGCTTTTAGCACTTCCATCTCTGTGGACACATCTGCAGGACACCGCGCCTGCCGCTTCATCACAGTCGTTTCGAGAGAGCGTTCATGCCTGGAGACAAGGAACTCCAGATGTTCCAGGAACAGCTGAAACCAGGCCAAAGGGGGCGTGTAAAGAGCACCTTCAATTTCACATTCAAATCCTTCATAATCTCATGGTCAAACAAGTTCAAATTCCTACAATTCAGTAGAGTTAGGTAAATTTCCCTCAATTGTATTCGAATGTCATGAATTTCCATCACTAATTTCTTTTATTAACAAGAAGGTCTCATTTTGTAGTCTAGGCTGGCTTGAGGACTTACTAGCTAGCCCAGGCTGACCTCTTAACTCAAGACATTCCTGGCTCAGAACGTTGGGATTGAAGGCATATGCCACCATGCTTTGCCTTCTATCACAAATTTTAAGCAACATTTAATACTGAACACACTCTACAGAAGGAAAAAGCACAAAACACTTAAACCAGAGCTCCACTGACCCTCATGTTGTTCCTTTCTGCTTTGAGTTCAGCAATTTCTTTTTCCTTCTCAAGCAGCTGTTCCCTGCAAATGTTGAGCTCTTTTGCAAGCGTTGAAAACTCCTGCAAAGCAGCAAAGTAAAGGAATAAATCAACACATACATGAATAAATTTAAAAAAAAAAAAAAACCTCTTAGGCAAGACTTCCATTGGCCTCATAGTCCACACACACAGGCAACCCAATCTCAAGATACATGGCAAAGGATTCCCATTCTCCTCCAGAGAAATGGAGATCAACCATTTGCCGTAAGGTGACATAGGTATTCCCAATGGAATGAGAGTCTAACCCAGGCCATCTGACTTCCCTCCACCCTGGCACTGCTGAAAGCACAGCAGGGGATAATGAGTGTCCAGGTCCACCTCTTTAGACTTCAGGAAATAAAAGCATTTTCCTCAATTGGCATCCCAAAATGAAGCATCTGAAGACATTTGTAAGTCAGTCACAGATCTGAGACCTAGAGCCCTTAGAGAGATCAAGGAAAAAAGGCCTAGAAGGTCACTATCCAATTCTAGTCCCCTCTCTATTCTGATTTTCCCTTAGTCCCTATAGTCTCCCTGAATCATTGGAGCAAAGTCAACTATGAAGAATGGGCTTACTGCTAGGACTAGGAAGCCTTTTGTATTCTCTGTAAAGGCATTCTCAAAACACTATGCATGCAGCAGTGTAGGAGATCTTGCAAAAGGCAGAGAGAAGCTGCAGGAGTCCTGCAGCACTGTTCTGTGCTAAACATTGTGTTATGACACCGGTTCACAGATACCACAAATGAACTGAATTGAGCAATGTGAATTTGGAGCAAAGCAACTCTGAAATAAGTAAAATCATCTGCCAGTGTTTCTGGCTTTAGGTGCTTTTCCTTTAAAAGACAAGAATAAAGATCTACCGGATAAATAATCAGTCCTTCAAAAGAACATGTGCTTGAGCTAGATAATTCTAGAAAGCTAGTTTAACACAGGCGGTGCTCTTACAGGGCACTGGTAGCAATTGTTTGCAGCTCACAGTCAATCTCATCACAGAAAGCACAGGCCCATGAAGTCTGCTTTAACCAGACCACGACTCATGTGCCTATGTGAGCCACAGTGAGATTGGGCAAGTAAAGTGAGAGAGAAATAGAGATGACACTGCCACAGAAAGCACTGGAAAAGAGCAAAATTTCTTTTAAACTAGCTTTTCTTCTCCAAAAACTCATGACTGTGGGTGAGCCGAACTTAGCCTGGCAGGAACTTTGCAGCCTGCTCCCCAGGGAGACCTGAAATGATGAAAACCACTCTTCAAAGCTTCTGGAAATGGCTCAAAGGATAACAGTAAATGAGGAAATTATCTATTCAAGAAATATCAGGAATAAGGCCAGGAGTCCATGGTATTTGAATTAGGACTTCTATTTGCCTCCCCCACCCAGCTCAGCATAGCGGACTCCTCCAGCCAAAAACACAGGGCCCTTCACCAGGCCAAAACCATGGTGGCTCCCCAGATAACAACATAGAGATTCTTCTCCCCAGGTCAGCAGAGCCTTCTCTTTCCCAGCTAGCAACACATGATTCTCATATCCAGACCAACTGAAGGCCCCTTCTTCCCCCAGGCCAGCAAGGTAAGGTCCTTTCCCCAGGCCAACAACACAGGCTCTGCTCCCTGGACCTGCCATGCAGGATTGTCTCCTCACACTCAAATGCCCCCTCACCAAGGCCACTAACATAGGGTCTGCTTGCTCCTGCCTGCCAACCAGGTAAAAATCATCCAAATGTGTCTTAAAACCTGACAGAGTTCCAGCCAGTGTTGAGACATCTTCATAGGCCCAAAGCCAACCTTCAGGAATGGGACTTGTGGATGCGAAGCAGTAGGGGAAAGGGTATTGGCCAGCCGGCCATCTAGACTTCTGTCATGTTCTCTACTAAGTGTGAGCTCTTCCCTGTGGTACAGATTTCTCCTGTAGATGCCAACACGGCCCTGATCGAGGTACTAACTGGCATTGGCCATGGTGATAAGCAAGAGCTCACTGTCAGGTCACCTAATAAGTACCATTCCTGACAGAGTGTGCCCTCTCTCTAATGGAATCTTTTATCAGAAAGATTCTGGGGCAGGTAGAAGAAAAGTAGACTCTAGTTACTCTAAGTCAAAAATCAAATCAATTCTATTCACACACCTATCACATCAATAGGTGGGCCTGGCTCTAGGCCTGCCTGAATTGAGGGCCTTGAATTTTTCTCATTTTGTCTCTCTTGCTGCAATCTGGCTCACCTTTGGTGACTTACTGCCAATGCTCCGTCTTTGACCATGTCCACAACAGACTGTATCATTCTAGCTAAGGTCTGTTTCATTTACTAGATTCCAAGTTGTTTTTTTGTCATACCTGCTTCGTTTTACCGCCAGTCCCTGTTACTATGGATGTTAATCTGTCTCTAAGTATCATGCTCACTTATTTTGGCAGTTTTGGCAGATTCTCCACCCATTTGTGATCGAGTGAAATAGGCACCTGTTTGTGAGTAGTCATCTCTGTAAGCGTGTCTTAGTATTATCTATTTTTAAGCACTGTGGAATCTAGTTTCATGCTCATCTAGATGAGGAGGCTTTATGTTGTTAGCAGTCTCCCTCTCCCAGTCACTTCCAGCTACTATAAAAAAAAAAAAAACTACCATAGTCATAGGCTGGGTATTAATAAACAACAGATAATTATTTCTGACAGTTCTAGAGGCTGCAAGTCTAAAATCACATAGGATACAATGTTAACTTAGGATACAATCTTAAATTAGGATATATAACATATGATATAATCTTAACAGATAAACAGACAAATTCTGTATCTTTCTCTCTCTTTTTTGAGATAAGGTTTCATTATACAGTTCTGGCTGGCCATGAACTCACACTGTAGTCCAGGCTGGCTTCAAACTCCAGCAGTCCTCCTGTATCAGCCTCCTGAGTGCTGGGATTACAGGCATATACCACCTTGTCTGACTCTCATTTCTAATTGTAGTAACAAAACAAGACTGCTGTGGGCTGGGGTAATCAGAGCATGCTTACTTAGTATGTTCAAGGCCCCGTGTTTAACGTCCAGCAATCTCATCTCTAAAGAAGGCCATCATGCTTGAAATTACTAACAAGAATCATAAAAGTTCAAAACTATTTTTGGGAGGGACCCAAAAATCAAACTTAAGACCATGTTGTTTACCAGGCATCATTTAAAATTTCAGGTTAAAACAATCATTTGTTAAAATAGAAAAGAAAAAAGAAGAGGTAAGGCACTATACTTATGCTCCACCCACAAAAAGAGATTCTTGCACCAAGACTCCCCTACATTGGCCCCGCTCTGCCCAGAGCGTTCTAGGCTCATTGAACCAGGCCTTCATTCTGCCTCTGTTCTCTTGTGAGAGGAAACCCAAGGCTAGGACCCACTGCCTTGTCTCAGACCTTTCTACAAGTGCCAAGAAGTCACCTCGCTCTGCCAGGTAAAACTAAAGTGTAAAAGTAACCATCCCATACCAGTCTTTGTCTGGTCCATATTTGCTGTCCTTAGACTCATTGCTAGGCTAATTTTCATAGCCAGCCCAGAGCAAGTCTCCTCTAAGTCACCAGGCTACATGCTGAGGAGAGATGACTAGTGAACAAGAGGAGGCCACAGTGTCTGAGTCTAAGTCAACAGACTGCTTCCTTTGCTGAGAAATTCTTACTGCCAAAACCAAAATATCCAAACCACACTGAAGTCCACTGAACAGAGGTAAGCTCTGAGGCCGGCTGCTGGTGAAAGCGCGGCATCTCACTTTGGGCGGGCACAGATCAGGGCCATTCCAAGCAGCACTACTGTGTGGATCACTACCTCACTTACAAGAGAGCAAGCCATGGTTCCACTGGGCCAAGGAACAGCTCCCAGGCCAGGAACTAATCAGCAACAGAGTGAGGATCTGTACCTGTGTCCTTACTAAATTACACTTCTGCTCAGCCACATAGAGAAGCTCACACACAGCTGCTGAGGACAATCACCACTTGGCACCTGCAGCAGCACTGCCCCACAAGTGTACCACCAGGAAGGCAGGAAGCATGAAGTGGGCATGGCACAGGGCCAGAGGCAGCAGGCATTGGGGGGAGCTTCTAGACTGACAGAAAGAAAACTCCGCAATCCCCACTGCTTCCAGGGCACCGCTTTTACTTCCAAGGTTTCCTCTGAGAGGGAGACTGTCAGCAGATCAGAACATCTTGAAAAATCTAGGCTCAAGGGAGAAATGGTCCTGGTTTTGGAATCAAAACAGACTTAACTTATACCTGCTCTGCACATCATGTGATCTAAATTTCAGTTTCCACATCTGTAATTGGGGGCAAGCACAGCAACTGGTTTCTCACGGGGATGTGCTTGTGGACTAAATATAGCAAAAAAATGGCCAAGTACTGAGTTTGGCACCCGGCAGAGAGCAGTGCTTACTAAGTTCTAGCCTTCCATATCAGAGAAAACTGTTTTTCCTCAATCTAAAGCCTATGGCTCTGCTTCAATCATTCCCTCCTTTCAAATCCTAAATTTTCCATCTATTATACACACGCATGCAATGGTTAGAGGCAAAAGCTCTGAGTATAGCAAGCACTGACATCTGTCCCCATGTTCCATGGATGGCTGATTGCCAAGAGAACAGTAACTTGTGATGTGGCAGGTCAGTTTAAACATTTCCAATGAAACATCAGTTATTCATTACAATATATTGACAACATTACACTTATGTGTGACATACTATACTCTTCCATGCATTAGGAAGATACAAAGGTATGCTCAGTTACTGGAAAATTTGCCTTTCTATGATAGTTCCTTAAGTTGCTAGGCTGACAAGACGCATGCATAGAAATAGACACCAGATTTATGACACGATTTAAAGCTAAAAATTCAAGGATCTACTCAGGCAAATATATTACAATACAAAGGACAAGACAGAAATAAGGGAGACAGGATTTAGAGGAAATATAACTGGAAATCAAATAATCTTTTATCACAAATTTAAATCTAAGTTATCCAAGATTTACTAGAAAACACTATAAATTACTACTCAAAGAGCACATTCTGTTTGAACACATGCGATTTAAAGCATGACAC